AATAGCAAGGAGTTGGAAACAACCTAAGTGCCCATCAACAAACGAATGGCTAGAGAAGCTGTGGTATATTCGCACAATGGAATCCTGGCTACAAAGAAAAGAAACCCAAAATGTGTTTTAATTTTTTATTAGAGAAGTTGGAAGTTTAATTTCAACATTGATGGTAACATAATTTGCTCTGCTTTGTTCAACGGAACACACTGAATCAGTTTGTACACGCATATACAACAATTTGGTCGGCATTTGGTGTACGACAATCAGTCATCTGATTAGTTCTAGACTATCAGGTTCCCATGCACTCCTCCGGTGTGGGTGGCATGGTCGGATTCCCAAAGGAATACTTCGTCATGCACTGTCTGCAATGTAACTACAGCAGGCGTGGAGACCATGCACGATAACACTGTTGCAAATTGTTTGGATATTTAACAGACGTAAAAAGGTTATTTCCTGATATGAAACTCTGAAAATCTGCATAAATATTTTTTGTGTAAAATTAAATTAGTTATGTATCTTTTTTCAAACTAGAACTCGAAGTATCAAGAATGCCCACGTAAGTCATATACACATATATATACTTTTTTTTTTAAAGTATGCTAAAAGTCTTGAGTCAACTGATGTTTTCTGTGCCATACATTGATTTAACCAGTATTTATTTGGCGTTAGATTAACTGTGCCTGTACGGATTAGTCTGAATCGGTGCTTGTGTATCATGCAAACATAGTTCTAGTATTCCTGTTTACTAATCTTGTCAACGTGGCAATACGTAGATGATTTTGCTCCACAACAGTGTGAGTTAAAGATTATAAATACTTTATACATGATCACATTTACACAGGGCTGCCAATAGCCACTTCATATCTTTAGGACATAATGGTGAACCAGAACGACTGGAGTCAGCAGAAGCAATTCCTAGAAAGCAAGGTCAGATGTAAACGCTTTGACGTTTGCCTCACAGAGCTCCCCTCTGCGCACTGAGTAGTCTCGGCACAGGTAACACTGCTCTAATTTTCTAGTGTTCTAGGAGTTTCCACGACTTTTACAGGATGTGCGTTTTGTATGGCGTGGTAGAGACATGGCACTGACTGAGATGTAGGGAAAATTCTGGAAATTCTTTGTCCAGCAGGCCACCACCTCTGCTGCTGATCATTTGTGGACAGAGTTGTTGTCTATTTTTTGTAACTAGTGCATGCACTTGCTATTAAATTGCTAATGCACTATTTCTGCTGCAGCTCAAACATGTCCTAATGCATCACAAAGCGGAGTTGTTGACACAAAGCTCGCCTACTTGTGATGATATTGTACAGCAAAACATGTTTAAGTTGGATTATCATTGGTTACACTCTGCCATATTGGAATATTAGTTTTTGTGTGCACGTATAGAATTGTAGTAGCTACTTTTGGTTGGCCAAAGGAATTCAATACTCCAAATGTTAAGCGGGAGGTACATAAGTCATTCCAAGTCTCCAGGTCACAGAGACACCTTGTCTATACAGACAGGAAACACAGAAGAAAACGGCTTTCTCCCTCGGGACAGGGGTTCAGACGTCTGGAGGGGTATTTCGATGCTGTGGAGTTGTGCTGTCTCAGTTTGCATTTTGTAGCGTCACACCACTGTTGCTGGTCTGCGATCCATCTCGGCTTCCAATTTCACCATCTGCTGCATCTCCTTCGCCTGGAACGTCAGGAAAAAATGGCTTTACACGAGGAAATCTCCTGGAGGCACTTAACGACCCTGTCCTCTTCTAGCCTGAGCTTGAGGTCATCACTGCCTCAATTCAATGTCTGGTCCAGGGACCAGCAGCATCAGTACTACCTGGGACCTTGTCAGAAATGCAGCGTCTCAGGTCCTAGCCTAGAACTACAGGGTTAGTACCTAGAGTATCCCAAGCTCCCCAGGAACCAGGAGTACAGGTCTGCGCCAGGGCATAAACACCATTTCAGGAGAAGTTGAGCCCGTCTCCTGATAGTTAGATTGTGTCATAGCCCACTGTTTTTTGTTTGATTTTCGTTTCTACAGATTAAGATGTGGCTTTGACTCTCCAGACATTTAAAAAAAAATGCTTTTGGGATGAATGTGATTCGTGTATAGTTTAATCCTCTAATAGCCTGATAGGGAATGAAAAGCAATTCCTAAGAAAGTAGGATGTTCAGTGGGACGTATATTTCAGGGCCCTTGGCTGAAGCGCCCTCCAAGTATCATGTTAAAGGAACATAGTGGGATTCCTGGGATTTCACTGTTAGAAAAGAAAACAAAACTACTCTGGGGTAATTTTCTGCTTATAGACAACCAGAAAGTATGAATTCAATCTCTTGAGTTAAGTACAATAAGTAATTGGTAATTAGTAATGGGAATAGGAAGAGGGCAGAGTCTGGTAACAGATAACTGCTTTATAATATAGAGAAAAAGAAATGGATTCATTTCAGTTTTTACTCTCTAAGTGGAGGCCTGGATACTAGTGCCATAAAGGCTTGGTTTAGAACTGCTAGAACCCAGCGCACATGTCTTCTTGAAAGGAAAATAGTCTCCCTGTGTGTGTGTGTGAGACATCACTTGGAAACCAAAGACATTTAGAAATTGATGGAAACATGGAGATAGAACGACATAAACCAGGGGAGGATTCATGATTCATTTATGCTTAGAAGTGGAGACTTTGGTCAGCTCCTCAGATCATACTGCCAGCTGCCTTTAAGCTGATTCCAATCGATGTTGACCCAATCTGTTTCAGAGCAGAACTAGGATCCTCAGGGGTTTCAATGGCTGGAATCTGCTGGGAGCAGAGATCAAAGTCTTTTTTTTTTCTTCTGAAGAGACTCTGGGTGGGTTTGAACCAACAATCTTTTGTTAGTGGTGGAGCACTTAACTGCTTGTGTCACCCAGGGACATATTATGAGCATATAATGCCTCAGATGAAGTTCTGTTGTAAAATTTGTTCACCAATAGACCATATTGAGGCTTTATTCTTCTTGGTTTTATATTTTATATTATACAATTAATATAAAATAAAATTATATTTCAGTGAGGATTGGTATAATGATACCAGAGGATGACATCTTTCTGCTTAAATATTGGCTGGATGGTTCCTTTTACCCAGATATTTTCTAATGCCTTAAACATAATAATATTCTAGTAGAGGAATGAAGAAATGGAGAAAAATATACAAACATGAAATTATGACACAAACAGGATTCTTAAGAGATGACAGTGGAACATTATCTGCACTAAAAATTAAATGTTCAGAATACAGTCATAAAAGTTTCCCTCTATCCTCCTCGTCAGTGTTCAAAGACAATATGAAAAAGTTTACAAAGAATTGCATGACATTAACAGATCATTCCAAGGGCTAATGTAATTTTCATATGGACGGGTGACCGTTCATTTCTCTTTGCTTTGGACAATTCTAGTCTGTATCTGAATCCTAGCTACTAGGAATAGTACCCTTTTCACTGTCTAAATGATTTGGTTTGGACAATACATTGTATGGTCACTGTCTTATAAAGGTCATCTGTCTCATAAGGTCCCTGGCAGACCAGACTGAGCATAAAGCATAATACTGGTCATACTCTAGTGTTTCTGCCCACAAACCATCAAACTTTGCCATTAAAAGCCACCAGTGAATTTCCGGTGGAGTGCTTTCAAAATTATTCAGAGAATATGAATAGTGGGTTTAGGAATGACTGACATGGTGATCCAGACTCAGCTGTGATTGGTTCATAGGCAAACTGGGTAACATTGCTTTTGAAGCTTATTCATGACCAAGATCTAGTAGTTTCCAGGTCTACAGTTGGAAACAATGGTCAAAACTCCAACAGAAGTTGCTTGCTAATGACCAGACACTGGGAGTTTCAGTTTGATATTACATCAGAAATCCAAGCATGAAATAATGAAATCTTTCCGTCCAAACCCTTGCATATTGATTAGTTATGAGCAGATGGGAATCATCAATAGACCTGCGTTGAGAATATTGATGGAATCGAGAAGGAAAGCAAAGGCTTGCTTACGGGAGTTGGAGTCCTACCTTGCGTTTGGGACACTGCGTGACAGGATTTCAAAAGCTGTTTGTACAAAAATAGTAATGTCAAAATTGAGTCATACATACGAAACAAAGAAAATTAAATGAATATTGAAGTGAATCTGAGAAATGAATGCAAAACCATATACAGAAAAACAAAATGCTAAGAATAAAACATGTATATACCCATCAATGACTTTCCCCGAGCTGATCACAAAAGCAAAAAGAAAAAAAGAACAAACAGGACAACTGATGCCTGTCAGCCCAAACTGTGCTGCCTGGTGCCACCATGAATGAGAACCACAGGCCTAGTCAGACCCTCTGCCCCTCTGTGTTAAATGATAGAACTGATGACAAAAATCAACTTCTAAAACTTGGGGGTGACGGTAATGAAGTTGTTAGTGTTTGGAATGGTACATGTGAAGACAAATGTGGGTGGGAGGCCTACAAAGTAGGAAAAAAAACCCCTCAAACTCCCACCTCTCAGACTGTTAAATGAGTAACTGACTGACCATAAAGGCACTGAATGACCTACAGGAACTTAAAAACAAAGTGGAGATTTGGACCCAGAGTTGAAACTAAAACTTTAAGAAAGTCTGAGTAAGTTTTGCCAAAGCCCTCAAAACTTATCTAGTTCAGTAGGTCCATTTCATGCTCCACTTTAGGTAAACTGAGAGAACTTCTAGGAAGAGGAGTAAGACTCTTAGTGGGAAATACTACGGGAATATGTCAAAATGAATTCATCTTTGACTGAGAAACAGGAAAAAGTCTCAAGAGTTAACAGTGGCTTGGGAATGGAAGGTTTAACTGGTCATGAAGGGAGATCATACACTGCTCCAGTACTTGTCCTTTATGAGAGAAGAAATACAGCCATTGTTTGTGTATTCATACTGTGTCTATGACAGTGTTTTTAACACACAGAATAACTGTGGTATCAAAACTTTGGACTTTACACCTTAAATTACACAAAACCACAATGACCTGCGATTGAATTTCTTACGGAATAGGTCATATTTGTAAACTAAAGTTTATCACAGCATTTCAAGTCTAAATTCTCTGTTTGCCAGGAGCATCAATGATATTCTGGATTTCTTTCACTGGGTCTCATTAAATCATCATTTATCTCAAGCCTCGAATCCTATTTTCCCCCAAGCACCTGGGACTCAACATCTCAGCTGCAGGAAGTAAATATTATTCACATTCATAAGCATTAGATGAAATTTTGGAACAAAAAGCCACCATCCTCCTAAAATGACTCAATCAATGCAGGTGTCACTAACATAGTATTTTACTGTACTGACTCTGTAGAGTGTGTTCAGATAAATGTTCAGCGATTTAAAAAAATAATATGTATTATTATGTACTTAGATTGTGACACTAAAGATACTGGATAAATGCATTCTGCAGCTCTGATATCTATATCACTGTTCTAGAGATAACCACTTTTTATTACACTTAAATTCTTGAATCAAAAACTTACATTGCTAAATAACATAATACTAAGTATTTTCTTAATTTAGTTAACAGAAATATAATTATGCCTTACCTTTTATTTGGCCCTTCGCCTAAAGGAGGCTTTAAAAGAATCCACTTGAAGGTATGGTATCCTTGGTACCCACCCAATGCCAGGAGTTTTAACATCACTGATGTGATGGATACCAGTGCCTTGGAAGTCGTGGTTTTACTTCCTCATACCATCACTGTCCACTTCCCTCTGTCCTCAACAATTTCCTCTCCCACCCTGGCCCCCAGAACACTTTTTGAGAAGTGCCTCAAGGACAAAAAATAGAATGGAGGTAATTAATTAGTACCAGAATGTGATTCATCTATGAGTTGACCAAATGCACTGAACTCATAGGACAGTAACTCTCACTCCCTTGGGAGAACCCGTGTACCTTTCTTAAATGGAAGTATTTAGGTCCCTAGGAAATGGGGAATGTGGCTAAAGCATATGCTGTTGTGTCAAATTACTGCTTACCATGGTCAAAGATGGGAAGCTGGGTTTATTTACTTACTGCCCAGCTAAAAGGCAAAGAAAGATACCATTGTTTTGTTTCCTTAAAGGTACTTTTCAGTGTGATTTCTTTTTTACACGCTCTTCAAAGAGAACCACTGACTTTGAGAAAGCACTTCTCCCAAAGCATTTTTTTGCAAAAGTATTTCTCAAAGTGCCTTGAACAGAGCTGCTTTAAGAAAAGGAGGAAATAAGAAAATTGTAGTATAAGCACATATTTCATCCAAGTGAGTTCAACGTTTCTAAACTGAAGTTATCTAAAAAGAAATCGAAGAACTGAAAGAGTGACATTTGGACTGAGATGAAAATGTCCAGTTAATGAGGCTCATTTTGCCTTAGAAGCTGGAGGTTATCACCATCACGCTGAAATGACTTTGTGCAAAGCTGACTGGCTGCTGCTGCCTCTGGATGGAGATTTACCTGCGTTGTGAACATGATGAACTCACCCCTCGTGGTGCTGACATACGCCTGAAGGCCTGACTGACCTGGAGGATTCCAGGCAACTTTTATTCGCTGCTCGTCTTTCTAGCTAATGTTTTCCTTTGCTTGGAAAAAGCACGAAGGGAATGGATGATATTCACTCACACTAAGTTTTGTTTAAAATCATTGTGCTTTATGCTGTTAGGGGCACTCTGTAAGCCAGAGGAGGGTTTGAGAACTTTCCTTTTAGGTGGAGATTGCAAATGGTAGTTCCTCTCCTCACTTTCTTTTAGACATTCTTTCTCTTGCCTGTAGGTTCCAAATCATGAAACTCTAGATGAAAGAGGGATGGAGAAAGATGGCCAATCTCCTCTAGTGCGATTTACAGCCTCTGAAAACCTTCAGGAGGATCGGCTACGGGTGGGTTCTGACTCCACGGCAACAAGTTTTGAGTTTTAAATGACAGAGAAATAATGTGAACAATGTGAATAATGGCCCCTTCTCTCACTTTCAGTCATTTCATTCTTAAAACCCATTGCGATTGAGTTTTTTTTCTGATTTATAACAATTCTCTAGGACAGACTAGAACTTCCCAGTAGAGTCTCGAAGGCCGTAAACAATCATGAGAGGGATTGTCTCAAATTTCCCCTATGGAGCGCCTGGCAGATTCCACCTACAGGCTGGTCAGCTGGTCAGCACTTTAACCAGTGTCCCTCCTACAAATTCCCACAATATATTCAAATGATGACTCTATTCTTCCCCCACCGCCCCCAGCCATATTCCCCCTCTGTTACAAAAAGGAATACTTCCTTCTGGATGAGAAAAAAAAAAGGAGGAAACCAGTAACATCCACCAAACTTTTCTGGCTACCTCTCCATGCCACTGGCTTTTAGAGACCGGTCTCTATAAAGCACAACCCCCATCAGCAAGGAGACTGGGTACCCATGGTTTTTCATGTTGTTCAGGCAAAATACCTGCTCGTTCTGTTTCTCCAGGAATTCTAAGTGTTCAAGCTGGACTTTTTTCAACTGATCCATTTCTTTCGACTGCTTCATTGCAAGCTGCAAAACACAACAAACCATTCTGATGAACTGTGCTGTAATCTTAACTGTGGAACACGTGTATGGCAAGGAGTAAGAAAAAACACCAGTCTGAAAATGGATAGCTTAAACCTGTAATTCTCTTTGAGATGTTTTTCTGTTAAAATCTTAGAAAAGAACACACTACCTATTCTTGGTTAAAACTTGGCCTCACTTTCTATGTGATTAACTGGTGCCAAATAGTTAGCGTAATGATTTTAGTAAAAGATTTCTTTAGCTTTTGGGGAGCAAGGAAGAGAAGCTGGGATGCCCAATGCACAGAGAAATCAAATCATGCACATTAACTGACGTCTGATCTCTGAGTACGAGTTAATGACCTGTAGGTTTTCAGAGGAAAGGTGCCAAGAAAATGATAAAATACTTACTCTCTTTCTTTCTTCCAGAAACTTTTTAGTATTGCTGCTATTTAACTCCCTGACTCTCCTAGAAGAGAGAAGACGATAAATACTAGTCAGGTTAACAGTACATGATAATATAAGTACTAATAAGTAAGAATTATCTAGATAGGACTATTACTTCTTTTTCCTAGTTGTAAAAATTTCAAACAGGGCATAGAGAGAAAACATACTGTGTACTCACCACTCAGATTAACTAATGTTAATATTTTGCCAAGTTTGGCTCATATTTTAAGGGAATTGAGACGTTACAGGTATAATGAAAACTTTCTTTGCACAGATACTGGTTCTACCCTTTCCTCTCTTCCCCCCAAACCTCACCTACTCATTGCTATGGAGTTGGAAGCAACTCCCAGTGTACCCCCCAGCAGGTGTCAGCAGACTGCAAACTGCACGGGAGGAGAAATGCCATTTTTCTCCAAGGAGCTGCTGGTGAATTTGAACTGCAGGAGGCGGTAGGAACAGGTACCAAAGGCTTGCCAGTTTTCTTTGTTTTGAGGCATCAGTTTATAAGCACTATCGGTCGGATTACTAGTGCACAAATGCTTAGCAGGAGCAGTAACTGCAGTGAATTCTCTGAGGCTGACACACTGGACAGTGAACCTCGCAGGTTCACCATCCTGTACAACGTAGACTCTGATACTCTTGTAGTTCCAGTACAAGGTACAATCTGAGTCTCCAAGGTACGCTCAGATCACTGTGACCACCAATTAGCTAAAGAGTTGTACCTGTGGCCTTCTCTAAGTATGTTATGCACCATCAAGTTGCAACCGGCTGGCCCTCCAGTGGGTTTTCAAAGCCTTTAAGTGGCAGGACAGGAGCATGCCCATCTTTCTCCCAAGAAGCAGCTGGTGGACTTAAACCACATGCCTTCAGGTTGGCAGTGCAACTCCTCACTGCCAGGCCACCAGGGTCTTCTTTAGAGGCCACATCAACCCTCTCCCCATTCCCAGGAGGCCGGCCAGGACTGACTAAGACAGGAGAACATCAGACACCCATGCTCAAGGACCCACATGTGGTGTGCTTTACACAAGAGCTCCCTGTGCGATGGGGCTGCAGGTGCCCCCAGCTGAGACCAGGTGTTCACGCAGCCCCTTCCTGCTCCGCCCACCTCCCTTTCTACTGAGCCCCTCAGGAAATCAAACCGCAAGCCCTTGAATTCTTGTCTCTATCTCTGATTTTGAAGATGCAATCTAAGACATGGATAAACCATAAACAACCAGCTGGAAGCTTCTGAGAAGAACCCTGGTGTGAAGGGCAATACAAGCAAAATCAAGGCAAGAAGTCGGCCTCATTGCTACTAGTCAGAACCGCCCAGCAAGGACCTGCCTTACACCTCAACATAGGGAGATGTATCATCCCCATAGGGAGATGATACAGGGCAGATGACCTGCCGGGATGGGCAGCTAACTCGGAAATCCGTTTATTAGGTCATGTTTGACACAAGTTTGTTCACCAGTTTTCCAGGAGGTCTAACTTATGAGGAAACCTTGGACAATCTTGTCCAATAAGTCTTCTTAGCAGGTACAGCAGCAGAATTATCAAGACCCCAGGTTTCTTCCTCTCTCAGATGTCAGTATCAGGGCAAATATAGACCCATGTGTGGATGGGAACGTGCCTTCAGTAAACACAACAGTCACAGAGTGAGCCCACCCGGACTCACCTTTCCCGTTCTGCTTTGTTCTTGATGGATTTATCTTGGCTGATGGCTTTGCTGTTTTCCATGGAAATCTTGGCCTGGTGGGCTCGCATTTCCTTACTTTCTCTGGATATTAAAAACAAACAGACAAATAAACCTATCAATTCCACATAAGCACTGGCTTCAGGTTCACTTTATTCTTTTTTAAAATTGTTAATCTGACTGAGTTATTCAGTATTTCATGAAAAAGAGGCAAGGAACCCACTCCCATATAGAAGCTGTACGCCTGAAGGGTGATGAGTCATCTCCCGGTGACATAAAATTGATGGATGGCGAAGGAGAGATGTTGTTATTCTAGTTCATCACATACAAAGACTGTGTCCCACAAGATCTGGGACCAGATGGACTGGAAGAGGAAGAAGATGTTCCAACCATTACAAATGACTCTCCTGTTTTCCGACGATTCACAGAATGAAGAGGTAATGTGGTTTAAGCATCGTGACTACTGTTAGCTGCTGTCAAGTTAGCCTGACTCATAGTGACCCCACACAGAAAGAACAAAATGTTGTCCATCCAATGATCAATTCTGGATTAGATAAAGGCAACTCCTAGATTTTTACTGGCTGGATTTCAGAGGTAGATTATTAGGCCTCTCATCTTAGTTTGACATAATCTTTTTTCTATTATGTTCATCTTACAACTTCTCTCTGTCAATGCTGGAATGCAGGTCGACAAGTTTGCCTTACTTCACTGTAGCTTCAATTCCATCTCATTCAGAAGCATTCTCTTAACAAGCATTAGGCCCTGGCTTTGCACTGAACTTCTCCGGTGTTTACATCTGTATATATCTGTGATTCTCAACCTAGGGCAATTCTCTTCTACAGAGAACATGTGGAAATGCCAGGAGATGCTCGTGGGTTTTACAGGGCTGGGGAGATGCCACTGGTGTCTAGTGGGCAGGAGGACAGGAAGGCTGCTTAAATAATGCAAAGGAAAAGGCTCCCAATTCCAGAACATTCCACCTAACTTACAGTCCCTGTTCCTCACCCCATTACTAGTAACAACAAAGTAATAGAAGAAAGAGTAGGCTGCCTCTGCATCCGATGTCAGTTTACACTCACAACACCTAGTCTGGCGAAAAGCTTATGTGCAAACAATGCAGTTGTATGGTTCTCCTAACCACTCCTGGGTGCTGAAAATGGTAACCTGTCAACTGAAAGGTTGGAGCAATGCTAGATCACCCAGAAATGCCTCTGAAGACAGACCTGGGTACCTAGTCCATCTTTAAATTTTTTTATTTTATTTTATATTGGTTTGTTTACAAAGTTTATACACATTGTATTTCACACTGTTCTTTATTGATTGATATTGTGTATCATACAATAATTTCCATAAGTCATGTTTTATAAAATCAATCACCATTGGACCTTGACCACCATTACTCAATCTTTTCAGGTCTCTACCTGATCCTTCCCATTTTCTTCACTCCCTCCCTCCAACCACTAAACTGTGCAGCCCTGTGGTTTCACCCCTAACCATCCTCAGCCTTTTTCTCTCATGCCTTTCCCTCCTTGGGTTCCCATATATGTGTTATTAGTTATCCTATTTTTATAATAATGGTCAGTTCACTCAGCATAATGGTCTCCCATCTCTCCCAAGTTAGGTAGTATTTTTTTGAAATCATCGCTCCTGAGTGTGGTATAGTATTCCATTGTGTGAATGAACCACAACTTCTCAATCGATCTACTTCTTAACTCTCAGCCATGTAAACCCATGGAATGCAGTTATACTCTGACATACGGGGATCACTGTGCATTAGAATCCACTCAAAGGCAACTGGTTTGGGTACTAGTTGTATTCTATGAGCTCTTACAATGAGAAAGTGTACTTCTGTATGGAACATTTTGCTGAATGACATTCTTATTGTAGCACTGTCATTTTCCTGGCCTGTGCGTGGCTTTATGTTACAAGTTCTATGCAGGTGTATCGCAGTAGTGAGATTTCACTCAAGACTCATTCAACAGAGATATCTGAGAGTCTACTCTGTATTATATATTATATAGTAATTATATATTTTATGGCACATATATGATACACAAACACACACACACACACACACACACACACACAATAGATGGAGAAGAGATTGAGGTTGTTAACAATTACAGCTTGCTCGACTCCACAATCAAAACTCGTAACACCAACAGTCAGGAAATCAAAAGACGAATTGTATGATGAATTGTATTGGGAAAATCTGCTGTTAGGAACCTCTCCAGAGTACTGAAAAGCAACAATGTCAGTCTAGAGACTAAAGTGCACCTAACCCAAGCCATGGTCTTTGCAATTACTTGCTATGCATCAGAGAGCTGGACAATGACTAAAGATGACAGTAGAAGAATCGATGTCTTCGAGTTGTGGTGCTGGAGAAGAGTCTTGAACATACCATGGACTGCCAAAAAAAAAAACAAAACCAAACAAATTTCTCCTTTGGATTTGAAGCTAGGATTCGAAGCTCCACCTCACTCACATTGAGCATGTGGCCAGGAAAGACCGGTCTTTGGAAGGGATATGTGGAAGGGGTGGAGGATCAGAGCAGGGGAGGAAGACCCGGGATGAAATGGATTGATAGGGTAACTGGGGCAATGGGGTTGGTGTGTCAGAATTAGTGAGACTGACTCAGGACAGGACAGGGTTTAGAGCTGCCATACATAGCACTCGATGGCACATAACGGCAACAATAACAACTCTGTATTAAGTTCGGTCTTCTGCATAATGACAAGTCTTGATGAGTCTTACTCCTGATGCCACATTCTTCCTCATAAAGTCTAGTGTCTCAAATGTTGCTCAGCATGCAGACTGAATAGGTATGGGGAAAAGTTACAACCATGACACACACCTTTCTTGATTTTGAACCATGCAGTGTTGTTTTGTTTGGACAACAGCTTCTCGGTCTAGGTATAGGTTTTGCACGAACATCATATTCTGGGATTCCCATTCTTCTCCATATAATTAAACAAAGAGAGATAGCCTTCTAGTACTCTCTGCTTTCAGCCAAGATCCATCTGACATTAGCAATGTTATTCTTGATGCCACTGTCTCTTCTAAATCCAGCCTGAACTTCTGCAAGTTTTCTGTCAATATACTTTTCTAGCTGTTTTTTAAAAATAATCTCCAGTAAGATTTTACTTTTGACATTCTTTAGGATCACCTTTTTTTGGGAATGATAAATTCTTGCTGCAGAAAATCAAAGACTACAGCCTCAATATGGATCATACCTCAACATCAAAAAGGCAAAAATCATCACCATTGAGTCAATAGGTAACATCATGATAGATGGGAAAAGAATGAAGTTGTCCATGATTGTATCTTGCTTGGACCCACAATCAACACCCTTGGGACCATTAATCAAGAAATCAAAAGATGGGAGCATTGGGAAAATCTGCTCTCAAAGATGTCTCCAAGGTGTCAAGGAGCAATGATGTCCGTTTAAAGACTAAGATGCACCTGATCCAAACCAGGATCTCTTCAATTACTTGCTATGCATCTAAGTTGGACAATGAATAAAGATGACATAAAATGACTCTGTGCCTTTGAGCTGTGGTGCTGGTGGAGATTACGGAATATCCCAAGGACTGTCAAAAGAACAAACACATCTGTCTAGGAGAAAGTTTAGACAGAGTGTTCCTTCAAGGGAAAGATGTGCAATGTCTTCTCATATACTTTGGGCAAACTGTTAGGAGGGGCCAGTCCTTGAAAAACAGACATCATGCTGGGAAATGTGGAAGGTGAGCAAAAGAATGGAAGATCCTCAATCAGACGGGTTGACAGAGTGATTGTTCCAATGAACTCAAGTGTATCAGGGATGATGAGGATAGTACAGGATGGGGCAGCGTTCAGAAATGTTGTTCATAGGAGTGCTATGAGTTGTACTCTCTTCAATGGCACCAAACACAACACTCGGTGCTCAGGAAGCCTTGGTAAAAGGAAGGCTGTGCTGCTAAAAGTTTACTGGCGGCTCGAATTCTCCAGTCCCTCATAGAAAGATGGGCAGGCTCTTCCGATAAGGAAACCCAATGGAGGGTGGTTATGAGTTGGAACCCCCTTGATGGTGGTGAGTTTGATTTTCCTTTTCTCTGTATTTGGAGGCTCTGGATGGCGCAAACAATTAGGCATTGAACTGTTAGCAGAAAGGCTTATAGTTTGACTCCACTGTGAAGTGACTCGACAGACAGCATCAGTGACGTGCTTTGAATGGATTATGGAGAAGTTTTACTCTGTGTTCACAGAATGACTCTGTACACAGCCCGAGAGGGCACTAATCTAATAAAACAACAACATTCCACCACTCGCTATGCATCACCAGATGCTGGAAATGAAAATCAGGCAAGAAAATAAGGCAACTGTAAGAGCAAAGAGCCTAGAAGGGGAATGTAGTGTCAACTTGAGATTCCAGAGACTATTTTTGCAGAAGGGAAAATTGTGGGGTATGGTGGGGTGTGGAGTGATGACGAAGCCTGGAGAGGCCTAAGATAAAGGTAGAGGCAGAAAGGAAGCACTGCAGGCAGAAGCGCCACCTGTGCAAGGGCTCAGAGGTGAGAGAAAACTGCCCTGCAGGAAAGGAAAAGAGGAAGAGTTACTGGAATGACAGGCAGTTCTATGGGGAGGAGGGTGAGGCTGTTCACAGAGCCTAGGCATAGATAGTTAAGAAGTGTAGTCTCAAGGAGACAGGGATGCATGGAAGACTTTCAAGCAGGGGAAGGGGCTATGTTTTCACTTACGGCTCACATTTCTCCTTCATCTGCTCACATTAAAGACCAGTTCTAAGCAAAGAGCAAATCTGCAAAGGCAGACAGTTTGGTTTCCCAAGTCTTCATATTTGGTCCTTGACTGACGCCACAGGCTGGGAGCCTGGCACAGTTCCGGGGCTTTGTTAGATCCTCCTCAGAATGCACTCTCAGGAGCAGAAAGGGACCTGGGAGATCACCCAGCATTCCCACCGGACTGGCTGTTTGCTAAGCATTTCAGATGTCAGGCCTTCAGAAGGCCAGTCACTTCACAGGTGGTTTAAAAGAATCTGCTGTTTGAGTTCACACTGAGAAGTGTTAGCATGTTTTCGGGATCATGTCCTTTTGTGTAAACAGGCAATTCTGAAAACTACTGATTTTGGAAAAGCTGCCCGATTTGTGGCCTCTAAGGAACCTTAGTTGAATTTTCTAATTGTAGACGTCTCCCACCCATCCACAGTCTTCTTCGATATCTTTATTAAGCATAAGCATGACTTGACTCAACACATGGCCAGTGGCACTGCTGTCCATCTGAGAGCACATCGATCATATCTCTGGATGAAGTGGACAAGCTTTTGAAAAACACAGAGTTAGAACTCAAGTGCAACTCACTGCCATTGAGTCAGAACCAACTCACAGCGGACTGTCCAGGTTTTCAGAGGCTGTAAATCGTATGGTAGGAGAGCAACACCAGGCTCCCTCAGAGCAGCTGGTAGGCGAGAACTGCCTGTCTTTGGGTTGGAAGGGAAAGCTCCTTACCCACAGCAAACAAAAAGTTCTACGTTTTGTGGTTTTAATCTGTGCCATTATTTATGACAGAAAGCTCAAATCCTTTTCTTTGCCAGGCAATGTAAGATGTAAAAGGTTAACCTCAAAAATAAAAGAGGTGTTAAGTTGATCTCCTGGGGCTAAGTAGTTGCTTAAACATAAAAAGTGCTATTTAGCCAAAAGTTTCATTTATAAACTGGATGTTTAGAAATAAAAATGAGCTGGAGAAGAGCTCAGAAAAAGGGCTATTAACACAAGGTATTAAGTCGGAGGCAAGTAAGCTATGGCAGAGCTGTGTTAGAAAAGACTGATGTCAAGGCCCTCCAGCCTGGGAAGAAGCCCAACTCATCACCTGTAGGATTTAAATATAATATACAATTTTCCGAAGCAGGGAAAGGACAAATAAATGTATTCTTTCTTGCCCTCTCTTGACCAGGCCTGTTGTTCTTCAATTCACAGAAGTTCTAATAGAGAAAAGGAGAAGGAAAGGGACTCTTTTCTCCACTGCCCCATTAAGGGGTCAGAGCTGAACCTTTCTGGAAGCTCAGTGGGCTTGTCCGCATCTCTCCTCTGTGTCTCCTCTGCCTGAGAAGGTCCAAACCATGTTTCAAAAGGTTGGCTCTAGCCCTACCCTTCTGTGAATCCCTACAAGTACCCCAGCGGACCACTCCTTTGTGGGGATGCCCCTCAGTGTCCTTTGACAGTGTCTGATATTTATCAACCCATTTTTAAGGGTTCATCATCCTTGTATCACATGTACATGCAAACTTAACAATATTGCTAAAATAAATTAGCTAAGGCACGTATTGCCTTAGCTAACCAACATGCTGTTAGGTGCTGTAGAGTTGAGTACAGATCATGGTGACCGTATGAACAGCACTCTGAACGCTGTCCTATTCTGTGACATCCTTATCATCTCTGCCACACTTGAGCCCATGGCCACAGTCACGTCAATTCATCTCATTGAGGGTCTCCCTCCCTTTTCATGACCCTCCACTTATCCAAGCTAATGTACATAATAGAAAAGCTGCGTTCTTTCTGTGAAACACAATGTACATGAATGATATTGGATGTATTAGAATTTTGTGTGCAAATCCATATAAAATAGAGAAAAAAGTTTATATATTTGTAGTTGCCTGTGTGATAAAAACATACCATTTTACTTTGTTCACAATAGCAAGGAGTTGGAAACAACCAAGTGCCCATCAACAAACAAATGGATAGAGAAGCTGTGCTGTATTCACACAGTGGAATACTACGGTGAATTGAAAAACAAGGAACTCATGCAATATTATACAAAATGGGTGACCCTGGAGGACATTATGTTGAATGAAATATCTCAGTCACAAAAAGACAAATATTTCATAGTGCCACTGTTGTAAAACTGGACTGACATCGGGGTTGAGGGGAGACAAAGAAAGAGGGGACAAATAATGTATACTGCATTGAAACCGATGAGAGAGTGAAGTGTTTAAAAGGGATATGTGATTAGGTATTATTATCATGAAAGGAGTCCAGAGCGAAGGCTGCATAGTGGAGTGGACTTGGGGGGAGGGACTGTAAAACAATGAAAGAATTTTTCTTTTGCTTTTCAAAGAGAAGAGCGAATTGGGGGGAGGGGTGGGTAGGGAGAAAAGTGGAACAATGAATGAATGGAAATCCAAAGTGTCTGTAAATGGTCATTAAAATTAATAATTAAAAAATAAAGAAAAGAAGTGCAAAAGTACCCCCATATCATTTTAAACAAAAAAAGACAGTTTACTCCAGAGACAACCATCTGTGTTTCTGCCTGATGGAGAGATGGGGCGACGGTGCTGACCGGCTCAGCTGTCACTGCGTTTGGGGCGATGACACGTACCTGTCATGGGACAGTTTGAGCTGCTGGGTCTGCTGTTCGTGAGCACTGATAAGCAGCTTCCTCAGCAGCTCGCACTGCTGGCTCAGGTGCAGGTCGCGGATCTCCTGCTCCTCGGCGCTGTGGGTGTTGATCATTTCTGACCACTCTTTGGTGTGCTGGGCCACGATCTCCTTGACCTGGGCAGAGAGAGAGGAGGAAGGCTGCTGGGCTTCTCAGCGATCAGGCCTGAACTGGAAGCACATTGTTATTTATACAGTTCTGGTCCCACTTACCAATTTACCTGGTGAAACAGTAGACACTCATGTGCTGCTAATAATCCTATGTACTAATCAACAGAGGCCCTAGTGGTACGAAGCTGCCCTGCAATGCCAAAGGCACATGGTTCGAATCTACCAGTGGCTCAGTGGGAGACGGACAGGCAAGCTCCTCCCAGGTGATTAACTAAGTGCCTCTGAAAACCTGCTGGAGGGTCAGCTATGGGTCAGTTAGACTCCACCTCACATAACAACAGAATGCCACTATCAATGAGGTTTGGGAGTCATTGTTTATACTTAAGCATCAATCACAGCTCTAACTTGCCCATATCCTAGTCTGTTACAGCTTTCAGATATTGTATTCAATTTTATCAGAATCCTCTCAGTTACTTCCTGCTTCCCTAGGTTCACTTTCCCAAGGTGGTGGTTGTTGTTGCTGCTATGCCTTGTGGAGTCATCTGTGAGTCACAGTGACCCTATTCACGATAGCTTGGAACTCTGCCCTGTCCTGAGCCAGTCCCATTGTCTCTGACCCATCTACCCTCATTACCCCAGTTATTCTATCAATCCCTCCACCCTCCCACGCACGATGTCCTTCTCCAAGGACTGGTCCCTCATGGCCACATGCCCGAAGGATGTGAGACAGAACCTCAAAATCCTCGCCTCTAACAGGTCTTTTATTCCTGGATCGTGATTCATAGTGTCAACCCTATCAGTTGTTGGGGTGGGAATTCTCCTCCCTCTCCATTATCCGTGCTTCCTGCAATGTCCCTGTGAGCTGCCTTATTCAATGGGACAGGAGCAAATGAGAGTGCTTGCTCTTTCTCTCCACTTGGGACTCAGAGGCCACCACGTGAATGAGCCGGTGCCAGCCAGCTGGAGGATGGCGGGTCATGTAGAATGAAAACAGCCAGCAGTCAGCCAACCAACAGATAAACCAACCCTAAACCATGCTCACTGCGGTTAAACCTATCTATCTCGTGATCCTTACAGGACAAAGTGGAACGGCCTCTGTAGGATTTCAAAGGTGTAAATCTTTTATCGCAGCACATCATCACATGATCCCCTCCCTCACCCCCATGGAGCAGATAATGGGCTTGAACAATAAATCTTTTAGACTAACCACCAAGTGCTCCCACCTATTGTCCCACTAGAGTTCCTCATAAATGTAATAAAGTCTTCGGAACTCCCAATTCCTTGTGTCTTGGGGGAAATCTGAGTAATGAGGCTGATCTATTAGAACATCAACTCTTTTCAAAACTTCTACAGTAAAGTTAGGAGACAGTAAGAATGAGGCATTGAAAGTGACTCCATCCTAAATTGGGTGAGTTTCTGCCACTTAGGAAGTGTACTATGTTGTTGTTATGTGCTGTCGAGTCACTTGCGACTCATAGCAACCCTATGTACAACAGCCCTAAACTCTGCTCTATCCTATGCCAATCTTACTGTCTCCGACACACCCATCCCGATTACCCGTCACTGAATCAATCCACCTCCTAGAGGGTCTTCCTCTCCTGCGCCATCCCTCCATCCTCCCAAGCATGATGTCCCTCTCCAAGGATTGGTCCTTCCTTTCAACATGACCAAAGTATGTCAGACGAAGCCCCAGAATCCTTGCCTCCAAGGAGTAGCCTGGTTTAACCCTCTCTAGGGTGGATCTGTTTGTTTTCTTGGCAGTCCATGGAACATTCAATACTCTTCTCCGGCACCACAGCTCAAAGGCGTCAATTCTCCTTCTATCCTCCCTAGTCGTTGTCCAACTCTCTGAGGCATAACAAGTGACTACAAAGACCATGGCCTGTATCAGACACACTTAAGTCTCCAGAGAGACACCACTGCTCTTCAGAACTTTGGAGAGGTCCCTAACAGCAGACTTTCCCATCGCAATACACCTTTTAATTTCCTGGCAAGCGAGCATATTCTGTATATATGACTGTGTTTATTGTTATCCTATTTTTTTTCATCATTAGTTCTGATACTTCTAAGAACGGAGGCCCAATAACAGATACTCTGTGAGGCTATTTCTACTAAAGAAAACATTCCATGAAAGAGCTCTCACCCCAGCCCTGGAGTCTATCACAAACAAGCCTCACAGTATCTGCTCACCACAGACCAGCTCAGAGCTGCTATTATTTCTGATGAGCACATGGTATCAAATTGAAAAAAGAATTACAGTCTTCTTAGGCGCTGCTGCAAAAACGGGCATTTTCTTACCTTAGATTTGTGATCTGATGTCAGTGTCTGAATTTTAATTTCGGTCTCTTTCTTCATTTCGAGACAATTACTTCCCCTGAAATTGGAGAATGGTTGTCCAAAGTTAGATCTCTTCCCATTCCAACAGCCCTTTGCTGCAAAGCTTTCCAGCAAAGATAATAAGCTCATCAAACACAGGCTTGATGGCTCGCTGGGCAGCGCTGGTCTTCCCATTAATAGCTTCATACCTTACAAAGTGCCCTCCACAAAGTGATTACTCAATTCAGCACTCCACAATGAGCCCCTTCCAACCCAACAATTATCTCATTGTTCAACGTCTCTTGTCAGAGTTTCCATTTTGGTTCCTGCTTTTCTTTGAACTATTTTCACATCTTTTTAGTTTTCATGTATTCAAAAAAACATCACTGGAGATGAAAACTGGAAAACAGGTCCTCAGTCTTAAATTGAATTCTTAATTCACCCATTTTGGCTATAAAGACAGTTTGCTGTCTTTTAAACATGCCAGCGAGGGAGAAAATAGCATTTCTTGGCATTATAGGGTAATTTTTGCTGTTTGTCTATTGTGAGTGGGAAATATATACCAGGCAATTGCCCAGTAACCATTACTGAGTATTTCAGTGATTACAGATTTGCCCCCCCCTTGCAATATCAAACTGAAGCAGGAACAGATATGTATGCCCTGGATTGTGAGGGCCTAGATGGGAATGCTTGATTTCAGTACGAACAGAGAGTTTCTGAGAAAATCGACAATGCTAGTTCTCTTGTTAAATGTGTTACTTCTCAATGGCTGCTGTCAAATACACTTTCTCCATAGCTTGCTGTTCAGTGAGCTTGTAGCACTGCTAACAGACACCCCCGCCCCGTTTTGTTGGTGTTATGGGACTGACTACAAGTCATGGTGACCCTATGAACAACAGCGCTGAACCTTGCTCTATTCTGAGCCCACCTTACCATCTCTGACACATCTGCCCCCAAGACCACACAGTCACTGTGTCAGTCTATCTCAGCCAGCATCCTTCTCTCTGGCTACTCTCCCTCTACCCTTCCAAGCTTGATGTCCTTCTCCAAGGACTGGTCCCTTCTGGCAACATGCTTAGTCCTAACCAAACTCTCTCCTGGTAAACACAAGAATATGTTGTAGTCAACAGGCTCACTTGCCGGCATTACATTAAAGATTCCTATAATAGTAAAAATCAGGATGGCATTCTTCCCCTCTAGTGCATTAACTGTATTATTTATTTTCTGTTGTTGTTAGGTGCCATCAAGTTAACTTAGACTCAACGTGATCTGATGAACAACAGATCTAAACCTTGAACCTATCCTGTGCCAACCTCACAATCTCTGATATACTCAAGACTATTGGTACACTCTGGAAGCTCTGGTGGCCTACTGGCAAGAAACTGTGCAGCAATCCCAAAGGGATATGGTCCGAATCCACCAGTTGCTCCACGGGAGAAGGAAGGGAAATCTCCTCCTATGTGATTAACTGTTTCTGAAAGCCCACTGGAGGGTCAGCTATGGGTCAGTACTGATTCTGTGGTTCACAACACTGGTACAGTCACTGTGTGAGTCACTGTGTGAATCCGTCTTGCCGAGGCTCTTCCTCTGTTTCTTGGATCTTCTACCTTTCCCAGCACGATGTCTTTGTCCAAGCTCTTGTCCCTCCTGAAAACCTGCTCAAAGCTCATGAGACTAAGTTGCAGCATCCTTACCTCTGTGGGGCACGCTGGTGCAAAACGGTTTCTGTAATTTTGAATTTCTTTTCCCAACTTGAGCTTATCCTGCTTTCTGCCTTCTGTCTATCATCTACCCACCAGCAATCAAGACACTGGAGTAGAAAAACCCGACAGGAGACATACTCGCCCCGTCATTAACCACCAGCTGTGAACACGAGACTAGAGCTCCTTCTTCCCACGCCAGTCACTCCCTCTGGTACTGGAGGTAGGAAAGCTTAGGGGGAAATCTCCTCTTCACTGGAGAATCTGACCCTGCTAAGAACATCTTCCAGGACTGCAAGCCGGTTCCCACTTGCAGGCTTTTAGCCCGCTGGGGGCAGTAAGACATCAGGGTAATATTTATAACATACTTAATACTAACGACACTGAGTTTGACAAAGAAGATTCAGGAAGAAAAGTACAAGCTGGTGTTTTTCAGTCTCCTCTTCATTTAAGATGTTAAGAGATCTCTGCGAACGTTCAACACTCAAGATTAGAGGGTCTACTTTAATATCTCACTTGGGATAATTTATAATTAATAGAGTATCCTTTTGATACCCTACTTTACCTATGGGCGTAAATAACAAGGTAAAAGCTATTTGTTACAAATTCTTTAATTGACATCTAAACCCAGCACTCATGAGTGACTGATCTGAGAATAATTTATGCCATTTTTAAAAGAAATCAAAGACATATAATTTCATATGTTCGTCTGAAATTTCCTAAATAAAAATTCTGGATTGAAACAACGAAAGAAAATCGTCAGTCACAAAAATTAGATATGTTTTTGGACAGATAACTTGTGGTTAGAACGACCTTTATGCTTCTTGGAGATTATCGTATTTTACGAAAAGTTTGCCTTTTAAAAACACATTATTAAGGTTATGACTATTATCTTCTAACATTTTGGTATAAAATGTCACCACATGTAAAAAGATAATTTAAAGGTAAAAAAAGGCAAAGCTTCTGGTGTAGTAAGAAATCTAGGAGAGTCTAAGTCAACGGCAGTCAAACAGATTTCAATTTATGGCGACTCCATGGGTCACAGAGTAGAACTGTCCCATCGGGCTTTCTCGGCTGTTAAATCTTTACAGGACTGGATCACTATGCCTATTTTTTTATGATGTTAACTGGGTGGGTTTGAACTATCAACCTTTAGACTATTAGTTAAGTACAAACCATTTATGCCATCTGGGGATTTGGAAGAGTCACAGCTCCTTGAAAACTTAATTATATTTACCACCAATAGGGTCAGGTGCTTCTGTAGTGGTTTTAGAATGTTACTTGTGACTCAGTGACAATAAAAAATATATGTTTAAATGTTCACAGAGCAACAGTCTATGTTTCTGCCTCAGTGATCCATGGGGAAGACAAGAGTTAGATTTTATTATACTTAATAAATAGATGCTCAATAGTTAATTCCCAATGTGTCTTTTTCTGGATATACCACGTTCGTTAGTTAATTCCCAATGTGTCTTTTTCTGGATATACCACGTTCGTTATATTCAGTAACTATAGTGAAGTAACATAGTTAGAGAAACTCTGCTGAGGATCTTGTCAAATCACAGCTCAGTTTCCTGACTCTTGACCTATTACAATGTTGGAGTGTTTAAAACAGAGGAGTCTCTTATCTTCCAGAAATAATCTTTTGGGTTTTTAAAAATTTTTATTTCGTGTGTGTACCATCAAATCAGATCTGACAGGTACAGAAGGAGATTGCCCCTCCTTCTCCAGCAGAGCATCTAGTGGATTAGAACCCCACACTGCTCGGACTGCAGTGCAGCTTCTTGCCACTAGACCACCAGAGCTCCCTTCAGGAATAAGTTTTAAAGATAAAATCAAGTCAAGACTAAGCCTGAAACAGCCACTGAGCTAAAGACAAGGAGGTCGAACGCTGCTTGCAGGAGAGGGACGCGTCCTCCGGAGGGCAGGGACAGTGCTCACCCCTTCTTCTTCATGGCCTTCTCGAGGATTTTCTCGTGGCTTGACTTCTCTTTGTCGTACTGGGCCACCATTTTGTCCACCTGCGTGCAGTGGAGCTTTTGCATGGTGCTGTGTTCCTGAACGAGAAGACAGTGCGGTTACAAGTGAGACAGTCCACCTCGTGCATCATCAGCTTACGGAAACTCTGGACAGCAGACTCTCTCAGCTCTTCTAGAGTCTAGACTTGGAAGGCCACGTGGTGAGAACTGGGCCTTTGGGTCTCCAACCACCCATCCAACATGAGACCTTCTAACTGGGGAATGCCAAAGGGGTCTCCAGCCTGGGTGTAATGGACGTGCCCACAGCAGAAGGCAGCATCGTGCGTAGTACCAGTGTTTCTAACGGCCTTGCTTCTTCATACACATGCCATAATCTAACTTCCACACATGCATTTCAGTCCTGTCACCTTTAGTCATGTGTCGCTTTCATACCCTGGACCCCAAATAGCCATGTTCACTCTGTATTTCTTCCCTTTTACTTGCTAAGTAAAAGACTTTTCATTATGTGACAGAGTTCCTAAACACGTGGTACTTCCTGGCCAGTCTGGAATGGCCTCACAGCAAAATAGTGACTTCCTTTTCTAGACGCATTCATGAAGAAGATAGAGAAGTCAGGATCCCTGCCCTTTCATCCTGCAAATAAGTTCTCATGGGCTGCTTTATTTAACACCAAGAAGGCTGTAACACTTAGAAAAATTAGTATTTCTCTATAAACATTATTTCCTCCAGGCCAGTGAGAGGTGCATTTTGCCAAAGCCAGTCACTTAAGTGAAATCTGATTTCTTACGCTCTTCAGCCTCCCCAAGTATAGGAGAAATCAGTACAGAAATATCCAGATCTCAACGGTCCTTGCTAGACTATCCTTGTCTCTTACTCTTATTTGAGAAACTTAGAGCTATGAGGCGGTCGTGAGGCTGAAATAAAGAGATGCTGTTCAGATTGCATAAACACCCTGCTGGTCTTGATTAAAACAAAGTGAACACAAATGACGAGTAACTTAATTAAGGAAAAAAACCAAAAACCCAAACATCTATTTCTTTCCTTTCCAAAGAGAGCTTGGTTTTAAGTCAACTTAATTCATAAAAGCAGCTTCAAGGGAGAAAGATTGCCAATGTCCCCCCCCATGTGGTTTCCCACCTCTGAAAACTCACTGGAGGGTCAGCTGTGCATTGGTTCCAAGTGCTGGGACAATTCACTTGACCTTTCAAAGTAAATCTTTTTAACAATAGTTGTTAGTTTTAAAAGAGCTCTGGTGGCCTAACGGTGAGAAACTGCACCGCAAGCCCAAAGGCATACAGGTCTGATTCACCAGCTGCTCTGTGGACAATGAGTGGATAATATTCTCCCATGTGATTAACTGCCTTTGAAAACTTGCTGGAAAGTCAGTTAGGAGACCGTTCTGACTCGATGGTTGTCTAAAGAGGAGGAAATGGGCTACAGAGGCACGGGGCAAGAGGGAGTAAGAATAACACAGCCCCTCACCACCTCAGAGCAGAAAGCAGGTAGAGTCTGAAGCCCAGCACCGTGCTGCCTGCAAAGACACACCAACACCAAGAGTTTGTTTATCTGACTCATAGATTCAACAACAACAACAGGATTTATTAGAGGAAGAAGTTGGAGAGTGGGGGAGGCAAAGAAGATCACCCAATACAAGTCCGGATTTTTAGCCAAGTTTCAAGGCACAATTCCTCAATTAGTCCACACTCTGGTTTCAGTTCAGCGGTCAAATCCAAATCATCCAGCAAGGTTTGCCTCAGAGCAACTAAAAGTCAGATTCTACTTCAAAGATCTGACAAGAACAGGCAAACCTTTATTACACTGTGGCCAGTACAAATGCAAAAAACCTCAGGTCACACCTTGCCACAGTTTGTCCACACCCAATGTCACAATCTCTCTACTGTCAGGGCCTTGCTGTCACTGGGGTCTTGTCACCATAAGACTTCCTAGCCTCCCGTCTGGCTTGCCTCAAGTCTCTAGCCTCAAACCTTGCTGCTTAGTGTGGGAAGCACTCTTTCATTTATCTTAGTTTCACAGCTGATGCTTATATAGGGAGATCAACTGCTAACTGCAAGACCATGTGTCTTCAGTTAAGGTAGCTAGAGACCAGAGGCAGCCAACTGTAATGGCTGAGAAAAAGCCAACTTTTAGGCTAACACGACAATGGTGCTCCAACAATATTAAAAGTGAGTGGATTGGACATGTGGGCTGTTTCCATGTTCTTGCAATGGTGAGTAATGCTGCTATGAACATTGGTGTACAAATCTCAGTTTGTGCCTCAGTTCTCATATTCAACTACAAACAGATAGACTGAGAAATTATGGCACAGCACACAGGAGCAGTAACTTTGTAAATTGTTACCTAACTTGGGAGGGACTGTAGAGCATTCTGGTGAGTGAACTAACTCAGTCCCACAAGGATAAATATTGTATAAGACCGTTATTGTAGAATGAGTATAAGGATCCAGGAGGTTTGGGAGAGGCTGGAAGCGGCGGGATGTGGATGTACACGGGGAAGAGGGGATTGATCATTAGGTTGTACAATTTGATGGGGGGGGGATGAGGGAAATTGAAAGAATTCGTTCTAATTTGTATTAGAATTTTGTAAATAAACTAGTGGGGGGAAAAAGAGAAAAAAGTAAGTGGAGTATAAATCATATTTCAAATGCTTGTTACATCTTATTCAAAATAGGATATGCAAACTTTTTTATGCTATTCAGTATCTATTCAGTATTCATGATAACATAGAAGGAGTTACTTGAGATAAAGGAAATCAATCACTTTAACTAAATCAATAAACCTTACCTCCACACTTAATCTATTGCCTCAGGACAGGAATAGATTAACTAATTGACAGACCTTTATTTGAGTGGATTTACCCACTTTTGCAGTTGGAAGGGGTGAACAGCTATTAAAAAGGCTTTCTTATTAGTCTTCGTATGCAAGTTTACCATGCTTTGTTAGCACATTTAACTTTCTTGATCAAATAAAGAATATGCTTTCTGCAAGTCTAGATGAAATACACTAGCAGTATCAGGCTCTTATGACTCTGGCCAGTATCACCGAAGTGTGGTGGGTGAAACGGTTCTTCAAATAGTCCAGTGTGGTACAGGAAGAAGCGGAAGCTTTGGTGCATGGGAGAATGCTAATACAGACTTAAGGAAATATTCTGGTAAATCTTATTGACCTTGATGCTGTGACTATGCCAGAAAGTTCAAATTCTGTAAGACAGATTAAACACTGCAAGGTACCACCTATAACGGCAGGTCAAACCTTTGTTCACCAGAATAGTGCCCCACACCCTGAAACCCACAGCGTCCCTTTTCAGCAGGAAGTAGCTAAGAGAATATGCCATCCCCTTTCCCTTATGAATCAGGGTGAAGTCTCTCTCAGGGAGGAGTGATAGGGAATGGCAAGGGACACACTGACAAAGGAGATTAATCAGAACTGGCTTTGACAAGCACTGTGGCAATTGGACAATTAAAACAGACATTCGGGGGGAGAAGAACGAACTGGGGAGGAGGGTAGAGAAAACAGTGCAACAACGAATGAATGAGAACCCAAAATCTCTGTAAATGTTCATTAAAACTAATAAAATTTAGTAATAATTAAAAAAAAGAATAGTGCCCCAAACTAAAGCAGACACTCAAGAAATATTTGTCGTGTAAATAAGAAATTAGCAAGAACATGTAGGCAGAAAATGTGCATTCTGGCTCCTTCTCCAACAATAAATAATAAACCAGGTTGCTGCTGTTGTTGTGTACCTGTTTTATCTCATAGGAAAGGGAGCATGGGCATCCAGGAAATAAGCAGCACACAGAAATTCTAGCTGCTAAGAGGGTCGACTCCATCAGATGCTTCGACAGAAGATGGACAAGATCCTTTCATGTGATTTACAGCCTTTGAAACCCCTCTAGAGGGTCAGCTATGAGTCAGTTCTGACTTAGAAGCTACGAGCTGGTTCTCACAACATGTAAAAACATCAACATTATTGCTGTTATGACATCACAGTATATTTACTGGTCACATCTCAAGTAAATACTAAATGACGGTGAGACCTAAGGTTTAAGTTTCCAACTAGCCTACTGAGACGCCTGCTTCAGTGACAGAAACTCAATTTAAATGGCAGGACAGTTTGTTGGAGACAAACTGGCATATGGGCGCCAAGTCCATTCCCAATAAGTGAGCAGTCATTTGAGGTGCATCCGATCTTAATTCCTTTTCTCGCTTTCATTTTATTGCCTTTCTGTATTCCAAGTTGTTGCCAATAACCAACAAAACTGAAATCACTACTTAAAATAGCTCTGTCTAAAATAGCTCTCACTTACAAAAAAAAAAAAAGTCTGTGACAAGTTTCCCCTGTGGGCAATGAAAGAAATACCATTGGATAGAATTATTCATGAAACTTGGGAACAAAATGTCTTTTAAGCGACCTCTGAATCAGCAAATCTATTGAGCCATCAGTAGGGAACGTTACTAGACCAAGATTAGGCTGAATTTCTCAAAGGAATATCAACTGTTACAAAATGACAGAGTTCTGGGCAATTCTCTTTGCATGTTACTACTGGAACTGGGGGATCTGCCACTTAACACCCGCACAGCAGGACACCGGCTTGATTTGAGGGTAGGTTAAGGATAAAGTAGTGGGAGTATAAACTAAATTTTAAAGAACTCAAAAGTCCTGTCAAGTCAAGAAAGACAGTTTCTCCTCTCTGTATAGATTAAGACACAAATATCTTCCCAGGAGCAGCAACAGTGTTTTACATCTTTGGGGAAAGAAAGAAGTACTGTGGAGTCTCCTTAAGAGGATCGGACAATGGTTCCTAGCCCCCTGATGGCCTCTTAAATTTGCAGTTCAAAATCCTCAAAGCTGACCCCCTCTGTTGGGTTTTCAGGAGGGGAGATTGCCCATCTTTCTCTCTAGGTGGCGCTGGTGCGTTCAAATCAGAGAAGGCTACGGCCTTTGGGTCCGCAGTACAATTCCCTAGGGACAAGGTCACCAAAGCACACCCAAATTGGCAACTAGCCTTTATAACTTCTCACAGCAACTTTCAAGAAGCCTCATCTTATGGATGTAAAGGGAATACATTTCAGAAGTGGGCTTACACGATGGAGCTGTAGGAGCTTAGGGGGTGAAGAGCACGGACTTTATTAAGATCTCCCTCTAAACACGACTCCTGACCTATTTGACAGTGGCCCAGGTAATCAGAGACCCTAAGGGCTAGAACTCTGAGCTTTTCCAGGTAGGTTATAGCTCAATATAAAGTCACAGATAAGACCATTTGAAAATGGGTGAACTTTTGTAATGTTTGAAGATAATCACCGGAAATGAAGACGAAAAACTAAGACCACTATTCCATTCCAGGTTTTCAACTTCATTGCTAACTAATCATATGGAAGCTATTTCTGGCTGTTTGGCTGGCACCAGCTTCTAGGTTGTGTTCTGGCTGTGAATGGTTCATCCCTCTGTACCATGTAACAGCAAGGTATTCATCGTTGTTGTTATGTACCACTGAGTCAGAACAGACTCATGGCTGACTTTCCAGCAGGTTTTCAGGGGCACCATGGAAGGAGACTGCCCATCTTTCTTCTACGGAGCAGCTGGTGAATTTGAACTGTGTGCCTTAGGGTCGGCAGTGCAACTCATGACCATCAAGCCATCAGATGTTTTTCGTCAGAGAACTGAAAAGGAAAAAAAAAAAGACACCAAGCAAAACTCCACAACATTTACTCACACCGACATAAAACACTGTACCTTTGCATGTTTCTTCTTTAGAGAGCTCAGCTCCTTCTGCTGTTTCTTTAAATGCTTCAAGTAAGCCTGTTGAAAAAGAAAGAGGCCCCCAAATAAACACTTCTATAGACGTAACATGAGAGTGCTTGCAAAACAGTCAAGCAATTTTATACCTTCATCTGCTTTAAATCTTCTATCCTCACTTGAGGGATGAGTTCAATGCCTGAAAAAAAAAAAGATATTGAGAATCAAAAATAAGGTAAAATGTGCAGCTTTGAAATCTCATCTGAAGCTTTTTGAAGCAGTAGGTTGGTCACAAAAGGGCACAATCTGTATAAAACCACTGTTATAGAAGTCTAAAGAAAGGTTATGTACAGATGGAATCATTCTTAGATGGTTACCAGGCATACGAAGGGAGGGAGGAGAGAGTAAAAATTGGTGAACAGATAGTTGTTGTTATTATTGCTAAGTGCAGTCAGGTGGACCACAACTCACAGGACTTGTCTGTTCTTTTGTCATTCTAAGACACAGCCAATATTCTTTGCCTACAGCACAAGTCAAAGGCATCAATTCTTCTCTGGTCCTCCTTATTCACTGCCCAACTTCTTAACTTTTTTGCAAGCAAGCCTGTGTCAAATGCATTAGCAGATGATTGATGTCTTCCTCCAATCTTCATCTCACACTCGTCCCAGCTTCTTGAGCTATTTGCTCAGCATGCAGATTGAAAAGTTATGGAGAAAGGATACAACCCTAAAGCCACTTTCCCTGATTTTAAACCATGCAGTATTCCTACATTCTGCTCAGACAACTTCCTCTTGGTCTATGTATGAGTTTCATGTGAGCACCCTTAGGGGTCTGGGATTCCCATTCTTCTCAGCACTAACCCTGGTTTGGTACGCACAGCCAAATGCCTTTGCAATGTCAATAAAATACAAGTAAAACATCTTTTTGGTATTCCATGCTTTTAGTGAAGGTCCATGTGACATTTGAAATAATATTCCTTGTTCCATGGCTTCTTCTGAATTTAACCTGAATAGCTGCAAGTTCCCTAATGATATACTGTTCTAGCTAATTTTGAATAATTTTTTAGCAAGATTTTAATGATCGTTTAAAGATTTTAATGATATTTCAGCACTCTGCCAGATCACTTTTTTGGGGGGGAATGGGAACAAATAGAAAATGGGTGCACATTACAAACTGTGAAGAGAAAGGCAATACTGAATAAGGGAATCATCAGAACGATATCATTAAAGAAAGAGGAGACTAAGTTACAGAAAGTTTAAGGGAAATACAAGCTATGCAAAATGTGTATGAGTGGTTAAATGAAAAGTTAATTTGCTTTTAATTCAAATCACAGTTATAAATATATTTTTAAAAACCCCAACAACTTTGAAGCAGCTTCAGACATCATGTTAGCAGCATGGGTATGAATCCAGGTAACGTAAAATCACTGGCAGTGTCAATATCTTCTCTGTCTGTCATGATGCTAACAGTATTATATCCAGAAATCAAAAGATGTGCTGTACTGGGAAAATCTGCTGTCAAGGGTTTCTCCAAAGTGCCCAGGAGCAATGATGTCAGTTTCAAGACTAAGGTGCACCTGATCCAAACTATGGTGTTTTGTTTTTTTTTCAATTGCTTCCTTTGTATCTGAAAATTGGACAATGAATAAGGATGATAGAAGCATTGAAGTCTTTGTGTTGTGATGTTGAAGAAGAATATTCCACATACTCTTAAAAAGACAAACAAGTTTGTCTTAGAGGAAGTATGACCAGGGTGTGCCTGACGGGCAAGAATGACAAAAATTCGTCTCACATACTTTGAGCCCCTTAAGACGGGCTTGGAAAAAGCTATGATTGGAAAGGTTGAAGAACAGCGAAAGAGAAAAAGACCCTCAACAAGACGGAGTCACACAATGTCCATAAAGGGGCCCGAGCACATCAGAGATGGTGACGAAGGTGCAGAAGAAGAAAAGGGGCAGGGCTATTGTCCACAGGGCGTCTATGGTTCCCAGTTCTCTAGATGGCACCTAACAACAACAATATCACAATATTAGGGATACAGACTTCTTAAGTCAAAGTTGCAAAACAGTCAGCAAGACAATGAAACCAGTTTATTGTTACAGGAAAGGTTCCTTAGAGCAGAGTCCGAGACAAGGACTCAGATGCAGATAATTTATCGAGGGAGGTTCTCTGGAGAACCCACAATGAAGTGAGAGAAAGCCTGATAGAGCAGAAGGAGGAAGTAGGATGTCCTTGCACCGGAAATCCTGCCCGAGATCCCACAGGAAGCAATACTGGCACTCCAGGCTTGCTCTCCTATGAGATACCCAGGGGGACTCCTGTAACCCCATTCCAGCTGGCTGATGGCTGAGTGGGTGAACTTCCAGGCATCAGGTAAAGCAATCTAATTGTCTAAGGAAACTCTCCAGAGAAAAGCAGTTGGGATTTGCTACCAACCCAAACTCAGAGCAGTCAGAGGACGGGACACTGTTCTGCAAAATGAATTTGACTAGACATGACAGCCTCTATTGTATTTCATTTATCTTTGTATTTCCATACCTGTCTCGTGTAACTCAACTCTATTCCTAAGTCTGATTCTCACTGGAGAAAAGTAGAGTCATGTTCTTCAGCTTCTTCATCCTACCGAATTGAGTTTTAACATTTGAGTAAGATGACATTGAGCCTAGCGGTGCCATTAACAATCAAGGACTAGTAAAATCAAACCAGCATAAAAGGCTGCCTACAGTGAGAACCTGGTGTGTCAAGCGAAAACATACTAAGTCAACCTGTCTTGTTATCTGAGTGATGCTAGGGCAAATGTTGCCATGGTAACCTAGATGGTAAGAAGAGTTCTGAGTTACGTTCTGTTTGACGGCAGATTTTCATTTTAGGCAAACAGAATGAACTATGCACTCAGCATAATAGTTGGTTTCCATCAGCATCCCAAAAGCGAGGTGTGATATTCAACTGTGAGTCGCAGGCCCTTGTTTTAGTTCTGTTTATCTTAAGAAGACTTGCACACCCAAAAAGAGGGTGGTTAGGATGGAAAAGCACTTTTGGAGAAACGAACAGTTCAATTTATAAAACACTATGCTAAGGCAGTGGAGGCTCACGTAGGACAGCGGAGTGAATTCTGGTGTGTGTAAGCGCTTCCTCTCTTTAGTCTTCATTCCTTTGTCTATAAAATGAACGTACAGGATTTGGGGGGAGCCCTGGTGGCATAGTCTGTAAGTGGTTGTGTTACTAACTCAAAGGTCATGCCTCTCTGTCGGTTTGAATCCATTACTAGACCCCCGAGCTTCTGGGCACCGATGAAGCAGCCCCGGATTCATGATTTCATCAACTTGATTCATGTCACCAGTTCTGACTGGGCTCTGTGCACTGCTTAGCTGACCCTCGACTCACGTCTTGAGGATTGTCCCACTCTAACCAAGGGAAAAACCAAAGTTTTTTTCTGCCCTTACTCTTAGCTCGGCCTCCATCCCTCAAGGGAGAGGGCCATTTATCCATCTTTTGGGGTCAGATTAAAGGCATCTATCGTGCACTGCACAAATGGCCACAGTATCATTCCTTCTCATCAAACAGCAAGTCTGTTTCTCCATCCCATGCATATGAATGAGCTCTGTGCCTTGCTTTGATTAATGATACATAAACCGAGCTCTGAACAGTCTAGAATAAGAGGTGCATAGTAAAGTGGACTGGGGGGTGGAGGGAGGGAGGAAACGGTGCAACAACGACAGAATCTTTTTAAAGAGAAAAGCGAACTCGGGTGGGGGGATTGGGAGGAAAATGTGCAAAAATGAATGAATGGAAATCCAAGTTTTCTGTAAACTTTCCTTAAAATATCAGTAATTATAACAACAATTAAAAAAGACCAAAAAAATCCCTCCCCAAAGACCAAAAAACCAAACAAAAAAACAACAAAAAACCAAACCAAACCAACAAAACACCCAGAGGTCTTAAGAGTGCTGACCTGAAAATACTGGAAACAACTTATATTCAAGAGTGCCTAGCTTGCTGGAGGATCTGACGTTTAAAACTACCAACTGATAAACCTGAAAGTATATCTAGGCTATCTAGCTTGGAGTCAGCCCACCTGATGACCAGGGATGGATGGGCAAGACACACAGACATCAGACAAAGCCACCCAAAGAAGCATGATCTCAATAAACTGTAGATGTTTTAAACGACGCCAACTAGAGGCCACTTGTTGTACAGCACCAGTCAAGTAACATGCCATCTGTCAAGGCTGCCAGGGTTCTTTTTCCACACACTCAACGGTCTCCTCACCATCCCTCTTCCTCTGACAGACAGAATATCTTTACTCTGCTGAAAAGGATTTATCCATTTCTCCCGATTCAGCCCTTCTTGGGCGTCTTCATCATAGGCCTTTCTTTCATATTTCTCTTCTTCTTCATGGGTTTCTATCAACAATCTGATACTGCCCCCCAGGAAAAAAAAATCTTATTTTTTCCTAATCTGTTTCTACTTCCTTTCTTTATTCATTTTATAATCCCTGGTTCAACAAGAATTTTGTGGTTTTACTTCTCTGAACATGTATATAAACCTTTTTATTTTTATAGACTTTATAAGGTTCCCCCTTCTTTCACTGAGTCTCTCTAATCATATCCATGCTCCTTTGCTCTCTTCCTTCCTCACTCCCTCTCTCTTCCCCTCTGCCCTTCTTCCACACCTACCACAGCACTTCCAGGACCCCAGGACTCTCACATCTCTCATGAGAGACTCCCTCTCACCTCCGAATCATCTTTCTTACTGCCCAGATTTATCAATAGTTTGGACCCAATGATGTGTAAAACGAGAATAATCACAATTTCCAAAAATATCTCCTTCTCTTGACTGTTATACTTCTTTCAATTGAACCACCTACTTTTGTGGTCTATCCTTGAAGTTTCTTAGTTACTGTTGAGCCTCCTTCTCCTGATTTGCATCCAAGCTCTCAATTTGTGCCTATTTTTTTCCTTCCCTTTCCTCCTTCTCCTTGGCTACTCTAGTTTAATCCAGTCCAGCCTCACTGCTAGTATGAGTCACTCATTTAGTGACCACTTATTTGCTGGTTAACAGAGACCACCAGTTCTTTTACCAGGCTTGTTCTCAGGGACACAGGGATGGTGTGGGCAGGGTTACATCTGCAAGCAACATTTTCCTAGTTAACACTCTATCTGTGACAACCACTAGAAGCATGAAGTGAACCCAGTGACTCTTACCTGGTCCACGCTAACTCTCCCTTCCAAACAATTCTCCATCAAGCTCACAGTGATCATCTGGAAATACTCTTATGATCGTCACTCTGCTTTCTCAGAATGACCTCCGAGCCAAGTTCAGCCCAGGAAAAGAATACTTTGCTGTTATCTCTATTCTTTTTCACACACATAGGCTGCTTCCTCCCAAGTTGCCTTCTCTTAGCTATTCCACCATCTCTTCCTGCTGAAGTCAGAGTTAAAGGTTGAATTCAAATGAGATCTCGACTATTTGTCTTCTCTGTGAGCCTTTCTCAACGTCAATCCCTCTCCCCACCCATTTCTAAGTAGCAGTTTTTGTTGGTAGGTGCCATGGAGTTGACCATAACTCACAGCAATCCTATGAACAGCAGATCTGAATCCTGGCCAACTCTCATCATATACCTCTTGCAGTATGCAGCTAGTGTACGACAGCCTGTTATGTCTAGTTCCCTGATCATGTGGGTGTTTCTTGTTGAACTTAGTACCATGATTCAGGTAGACTCCTGAGTCTTCTGAATAAAAGATGAAAATGAAACACCCTGTGGACTTCCTTTTTTAGGGTGTCTTCCCAAAGAGATTAGAATAGAAATAACAGCTGCTTAGCTCCTTTAAATGCAGTCCTGTTAAGAAACTCTGAACTTAAGCATGTTCTTTTCCGCTGTACTGAAGTAACTCGGGGTTGCTGTGATGCTGAATGCTGTGCCACTGGTATGTCAAATGCCACAATGGTCACCCATGGTGGACAGTGTTTGGTGGAGCTCCTAGATTGATTCAGATTTGGAAGCAGGAGTGGCAGCCACTTCCTAAACCACGTGCCTCTGGAAACTCTATGAATTTAGAGAAACGATGATAGTTATAGAACAGGGTTCAGGTCTTTTGTTCATAGAGTTGCTATGAGTCATGCTTGACTTGATGGCCCTTAACAACAACAACAACAACAACTTCTAGAAGTAGGACTATTTTCGCCCTCTGTAAGCTGGTCACACGGCATTGCTTTCCAGGTCACTCCACTCACCGTAATTATTAATGACTCCCTGCACATGTGCGGTACACTCATTTCAACCTAACACAAACCTCTCCATTTCCACTGCTTGTCTCGGGGTGGCTGACTTAATGACCAGCGCTGGCACACAGAGCCCGAATCAGCCTCATTACCTTGCTCCATTTCCTTTTCAGGGACGAACAGAAAACCAGCTGCACATCTGGGCTACTTCTGTGGAGTCACATTTTACAATTTGTTTCTCAAGGCTCAATACACATTGAGTTTCCTACTAAATTACTATGCTGCTTTGGTTTGAGAAAGTCTATTGTTTCCCAACGTAAACTGTAGCACGTCATGTATTAAATGCATGGACAACTTGATTTCTTTCCACCAAGGACGGTGACTGCACAAATAAATGGAAAATACACATACTGAGTAAGGGAATCATTAGTAAAACACAGGGATGTTTATAATTAATGGTCAAGGAGAATATTTAAAACATTTAATTACCAGTGAGGCATGGACACCATCCTGTCAGAACATTGCCGGCACAATTAGAATGCAAATCCACTTTAAGTAAATTTCCAGTTGATCCCTTTCTTTCTACTGGCTGATTATATGTACCAAGAGCACCCAAGTCTTTGTTGTGGAAAATCTTACAATCTTTTGTTTCATCATTACAAGTACATGTAACTGGCCTTTGAATACACATTTGATAGTTTTCTAGAAAAAGAATGACATGGCTGCTAAGTGTTTGCTTATAAAGACAAATGAGGGGCGTAGTATGTGCCATTGAGTCGAATCAACGCCTAGCTCACCCTCCAGTGGGTTTTCAAGGCGTTACGTCCCATGGAGGAGACTGCTCATCCTCGCACAGAGCAGCTGGTGGATACAAACTCTGGACCTTCGGGTTAGCAGTGCAACGCCTTACCACTAGGCCACCAGAGTTCCCTATAGAGACAAATAATCAACAAAGAAATCCAGAACTGTCCCAGCAGGAATGACTAACTTTTAATGGCAGTACGCAGAAGAGAACAGAGGCAAGCTAGCAAGTATTAATGTGTGAAAAATGGGTTGGGTATTTTTTTCCCTAAAGGATACAATACACAAAATTCTCTAAAGTCTGCAGTATAGGACTGAGTGTAACTAAGGAAATGGGCTCTGATGGTGTAGCCAATAGGAAGTTATGCTGGGAACCTACAGGGGGCACCTCCCGGGTGGTTCCCCAGCAGCTCTCCAGGAGAAAGGTAAGGGGCCTCTTCCCACATGATGCAGAGCCCCAGAAACACACTGGGGGTTCAGCTCTGAGTCAGTCCTGACCCAATGGCAACGAGGAAGAGGATCCAAAAGGCACCACACCCTCAGAGTGGAGCTGCTACTAAACACAGGAAAATCAAACCGCTTGTCAAAACCACCAGGAAACATGCTGCTTTGGCATTTTTAATGGGGCACTGAAAACTGGCAAAATTAACCCATTTACAGATCTTGATAAAAGACTCTTTAGGAAGCCTCAGAAGTTGCCAGGCAGCTGAGGAACTGAGGCCCCCTCCTTACATACCTTTCTTGGCCTCCACGCCCGTCCCCAGGGCGGCCGCAGTGGCTGGTCTCAGCTCCGAGCTGCTCTGTGGGGTCACGTTTGCTTTGGCAGTGTTTGCTTTGCCTTTCTTGTCATTCTTAGAAGTGTCGCTGGGCACATCAGCTATGTCGCTCTGCAAGAGAAACACTGACTCGAACCCCAGTGACCCCAGTTACCACACGGTCACACCCTGCCACCACTCAACATCCCCCTGCCTTTCCAGACTGGCTCTCTGGTTAGAATCTATACAGGACTGCTTTCAGTTTGAAGCAAAGGATCAAAACCCAGGTAATAACACTTCCTCAGATTCTAGCTACTGATGAGACTTTGGCTTCCACTCTTAACTAAGGGGCGTGGGAAAAGGAAGGTTTCCAACAAGCATTGAAAGTATGTATGTGTGGAATAGAAGAGTGAAATGCAAGACCAGGTCAAAACCACGAAAAACACACACAGAAATAAATGAGTGTGATTCTCATCAGTCCACTGTTTTGGGTTAGCTAGTCCTTTAATATGCCATTAAAAAGATACCCATTTAAGGGCATTCTGATGGCCTAGTGGCAAGAAGCTGCACTGTAACCCTGAAGGCGGGTGGTTTGAATCCACCAGGTGCTCTGTTGGAGAAGGAGGGGCAATCTTCTCCTGTGCCAGTCGGATCCGATTTGAGGGTACACAAAAACAAATACCATTTTAAGTCTTCTAAAAATATCACAGGTGCTTCTGATTTTTCTTCTAATGGGGAAGGGGGTCCCCAGATGTAATTAAGACCACTGGTGTTGATGTGAGTGGTCACACTTTGTTAACTACGCTACACTCTTGTAGCCCATTGACATATTGGTTGCATTTTAAGTTCTGATAAAAAGAAGACAAAATAAAAATCTGAACTTCTAGGTTTATTATATACATTAATTATTTTTTTATTATTATTTCATAATTAGCATTTTACAACAGGCCTCCTCAGCTCATTGTCATTGAGAATTGTCGTGTCAGAACCAACTCACAGCAGAACCTCCAATGGGTTTTCAGAGGCTGTAAATCCCATGGAAGGAGAGTGTTCACCTTTCCCCTACAGAGTAGCTGGTGGATTTGAACTGCATACCTTTGAGTTGACAGTGCAGTTCCTTGTCATTAAACCACCAGAGCTTAGCTGTCCTTCATCAGTCATCGCTACTTACGGTTTCAATGCCCATCGCTCTCATTTGGTCTGCCCTCTTTTCTGTAATTGAAAGAAATTTCTTTGGATCTGACAGTGCGTCCACAATATCTGAAAGGGGAAACAAACAACACTGAGCATCAAAGTCTCTGTTTTACTGAGAACATACCAAAAATTGCAGCTCGTAAATGATTCACAAACCTGGATGTCTATTCTTATCAACTAAGAAGCTCAAAGACCTTCCTTGCTCAAGACTTTTCATTGACTCTGTAGTATAATGTTTCACTGAACAGTGAATCCAAAGGCAGGTAGTGTGACTCCATCAGCTGGTCTGAGGGAGCAAGATGGGCACTCTTCTCCTGTGTGATTTACAGTCTCTGCAAACCCACTGGAGAGTCAGCTTCGAGGTGGTTCCAAGTCAAGGACAATGAGTTATTGTTTGTCCTGTTGCAGAGTTATGATGAAAGACTCTCTGTATAGCCATGGGTGACTGCGTCAACGGAATATGCATAAATGATTAAACTATGCTACATTTAGCTGAACCATGTATGGTCTATGTGTTGTTGTTAAGTGTCTTCGAGTCGAGCATGACTCATAGCGACCCTATGAACAAAACATCTGAATCTTGTTCTATTACTATCATCATTTCTTTAACGTTCATAGAGTTTGCAGAGGCATGTTGTTTAGGAAGTGGATGCCAATCCTGCTTCTAAACCTGTCGTAATCTGGGAGCTCCATGAATGTAGCCCCCATAAATATGTAAATGGATTCTAGTTTGAGAAAACAACAAACAAAACTTTTACTATCTGGAAAATTCCAAGGGTTAACTTTCAGGACCCAAAGGCAAGCTCAACCTGTGGTCTTTGAGTCAAAGCTCTCCAATGTTGCACAGCATGCCTCTGTGTAAGTGACAGCAGGGACATGGGTGAGTCAGCCCCTCAGTCTTACGATGGAGAAGTCATAGAAAATTACTTTGGGAAGTTAGTGTTGTTGTGATTGTTATGTACTGTTGAGTTGCCTGTGACTCATAGCAACTCTATGTACAACAGCCCTAAACTCTGCTCTATCCTATGCCAATCTTATTGTCTCTGACACACCTACCCCCACTACCTCTGTCACTGAATCAATCCATCTCATTGAGGGTTTTTCTCTCTTGCACTGTCCCTCTACCCTTTCAAGCATGACGTCTCTCTCTAAGGACTGATCCCGCCTTGTAGCATGTCCAGAGTACATCAGACTAAGCTTCAAAATCCTTGCCGCCAGGGAGCAGCCTGGTCTCACCCTTGATAGGATGAACCTGTTTGTTCTCTTAGCAGTCCATGGTACATTCAATACTCTTCTCCAGCACCACAGCTCAAAGGTATCAACTCTCATTCTATCATCCCTAGTTACTGTCCAGTCTTCTGATGCATAGCAAGTAACTGCAAAGACCATGGCCTGTATCAGGGGCACCTTAGTCTCCAGATTGACATCGTTGCTCTTCAGTACTTTGGAGAGATCTCTGACAGCGGACTTTCCCCAGTGCAATTTGTCTTTTAATTTCCTGGCTGCTGGTACGAAGAGTATTGATTGTAGAGCTATGCAAACTAAAGCTGTTAACAATCTCAATCTCTTCACCACCCATCATGATACTGCCAACTGGTCCAATGGCAGAAACTTATTTATCTACATTTGAGTCTATAGTATGAATTTTCCAAACACACAAATGAAAAAGAAAATCAACTCCCATATGTAGAAGATGTAACTTTAACAATTATGGAGCATTTGTCCAGTTTCCTTTATCTAGCCATTCTTTTCTCTTTCTCTCTCTGAAGTCATTTTAAGGCAAAATTAAGACACAATAACATTCCATTCCCAGTTGATTCTGACTGCATCTCTCAGACAGAAAGGTACTTTCTTTCAGAGCAACTATACTAACACCATAAGCAACAATACTGACAATTCCTTGTTGTTGTTGTTATGTGCTGTCAAGTCGCCTGTGACTCATAGTAACCCTATGTACAATAGCCCTGAAACCTGCTCTATCCTGTGCCAACCTTATTGTCTCTGACATACCTACACTCATTACCCCAGTCACTGAGTCAATCTATCGCATCCAGGGTCTTCCTCTCTTGTGCTGTTCCTCCACACTCCCAAGAATGATGTCCCTCTCCCAGGACTAGTCCCTCCTTGCAACAAGGCCAAAGTATGTCAGTTGAACCCTCAGAATCCTTGTCTTCAAGGAGCAGCCTGGTTTCACTCTCTCCAGGACAAACATGTCCTAGCAGTCTATTATATATTCAATACTCTTCTCCGGCACCACAGCTCAAAGGCATCATCAACTCTCCTTCTATCATCCCTAGTCACTGTCTAACTTTTGGATGCACAGCAAGTAATTGACATCATTGCTCTTCAGTACTTTGGAGAGGTCTCTGACAGCAGACTTTCCCATCGCAATATGTCTTTTAATTTCCTGGCTTCTGGTGCCTGATTGTGGAGCCAAACAAACTAAAGCCGTAAAAAAATCTCTGTCTTTTCACCATCTGTCATGATGCTGCGAATCGGCCCATTGGTGAGAGTCTTTGTTTTCTTGACATTGAGCCTCAATCCATAGTGAAGGTTGCAGTCCTTGACCTTCTGGAGCAAATGCTTCAGGTCTTCCTCAGTTCCAGCAAGCAGGGTGTGTCATCTGCATAGTGCAGACTGTTGATGAGTCTTTTACAATCCTGATGCCACATTTCTCCTCTTAGAGCCCAGCCTCCCAGATGACCATGTAAAAGAGTCCATATTAATGTTGCCAAGAGTCTCAGTGGTGCAATACACAGGTTAGTGGTCGGGCAGCCTGGTGAGCACAATATGCGGCCAATCGCTTTAAAGATTTATGGCCTTGGAGACTCTAAGCAGCAGCTCTCCTCTGTCCTACAGTGTCACCTGTTATGAGTCAGAATTAACATGATGGCAGCAGGTTTGGTTTGACTTTGATTAATTGTGGGACAACTAGTGGATTCGAACCATGTGCCTTTAGGATTGCAGTACAGCTTCTGACCACTAGGCCACCAGAGTGCCAACCTACTACCTTTACAGTTAAGCGAGTTCTGGTAGCTTAGTGGTTAAGGAGCTGTGCTGCCAACCTGAAGGCACCTGGTTCAAATCCACCAGCTGCTCCATGGAAGAAAGATGGATAACCTCCTCCTGTGCAATTAGACTGCCTCTCAAAACTCACTGGAGGGTCAGCTACTGGTTGGGTCCTACTTGATGGTACATAAAAAACTACAATCATAGTTAAGGAGTGGTATAGTAAGTAATGTGTTAGACTTCTAAGCCAAAGGTGAGTGGTCTGAATCCACCAGCTACCCTGCTGCAGAAAGACAGGCAGTGTCATTCCATAAAGGCTTACAGCCTGGGAAGTCAGATGGAGCGGGGCCATGACCAAAATTGACTCTGAAGTAGTGGATTATTAACAGATAGTTTGAATCAAGAGAAAAGGTTTGCGTAGGACTCCTATTTAAAAACGCATTTGATCAGTAGTATGAGGCTGAAAGCAAGGTTGGAAGTCATCTACAGCTACCAAGCCAAAGGGGAGTGATCTTAATCTGTGGTCCCCAGGCCTGGTTTTAATTGTTTTTGGTAAAACACTCTTCTGTGGTATAGCACTGGTATGTCCATTTGCTGTACAGAGGTAACTTGTGGTTGCTGTGATGTTAAACACTGACACTGATGTGTCAAAGGTTACAATGGTCACCCATGGTGGATAGTGTTTGGTGGAGCTCCCCGATTAAAACAGGCTTGGAAGCAGGAGTAGCATCCACTTCCGAAATAACATGCCTCAGGAAACTTTATGAACATGGAGAAACGATGAAAGTTAATACAAGTGTTCAGGTCTTTCGTTCATAGGATCACTATGAGTCATCTAGGACTTGACAGCACCTAAAACAATTTCTATTTTAATACAGAATAATCCCTCTTATTTCTCTTTCATAAAGCACAGACCTGTTAAAGAGACAGATCAGTTGTCCTGTTAAATGTTCCACATTCTAAATTTTTTCTATTTCCTTCACATGTCATTTAGATCTAAGGCTTGACTCTTTTTTTTGGCAGGCTAAGAATATTACAGAGGGGCAGAGGGGGAGCTTGACGTCACACGTAGCTCATGGGGCACAGGAAGTCTGGCTGTCGCTCTGCCATGATGTCAGTCAGCTCACTGTGAGGGCTCAGGAGGTGGGAGCTTGATCTCTCCACAGCAGAGCTGCTTCTCTCCTCACGGACGGCTGATGCTCTGGGTGGTGACCCTTTAGCATCCAACAACATGTGGCTATGATGTCTCTTCAGAGCTGGCAGGGACTGAGTGGATGCAGGGTCTGCTTCCACTTCATAAAAAGGGAAGTTGAGGTTCAGATGGCTCCTCTGATACCAGTTCACTACCTTCCTGTTCAGGAACACCATGCTCGTGGGCCACCAACCTCTTGCCTCGTGGGGAAGCTCTGTCAGGGACATGACCACATCAGATGTTCTCACTTAACCGTGAGAACCACCGTTAGTCCTTGGGAATATGCAAGGACTCTGAGTCTAGATGTCACTGAACGCTTTCTCTCTCCCCTTGTTCAAACTCACAGAGGACAAAGTGAGGGTTAAGCTGTGCGGTGGACCTCACGAGTCCTTCCCAGGTTGTTGTTCCTTCTCATGCTCCCACATTCTAAAATTTCGGGCCCTCAGCTCCAGGCCTGGCATTTTTCAGTGACTGCCCACGGGATTGCTTTGCTAACAGCCCACACATTTAATGACACTCAGTTTACTGAAGAGATTATCTGGCATTCATCGAGGGTAATCTGTCCAGTATGAATAAAATAGAATATTATAACCACTTAAAAACAATTCTAAAATTCACACAGTAAAACATCAAGAAAATAACTTTTAATCTTTCTATCTTATCCAAACTATGTTCATTATTGTATATGCTTATTTAATTTTATATATGAATACATATTTACATAGCATATTTAGGATTATATACTCTGCTTCTGTATGTATTATTAGACTACATTATAGCTCAAACAGCCTTGAAAACCAGTTTGAGTGAATGGGTAATGTCCCATTGAGTTTATGTCCCAGATTATTTCCCATGGGCTCTCAATTCTTCTGTAACAGATAACTATGCAAGGAATAGCTTAGTGGGAACAAGCTACTTTCTTTATCTTTTCTTAATCAGGTAAGTAACAGCTCAGTTATATAGTATGTTGGTGGTGGTGCCATTGAGTCCAGCACGACTCATAGCGACCCTATGAAGAACAGATTTGAACCCTGTCCTATCCTGTGCGCTTCTCCAACACAAATCTGTTTGTTCTTCTGTCAGTCCATAGGACAGTCAATACTCTTTTTGCTACACTAGAGTTAAAGGTGTCCATTCTTCTTCACTGTCAAGCTTTCAGCAGCAAAGCAAGTGATTGAAAAGACCATGGCCTGAAATCAGGTCTACTTTAGTCCTTAAATGGACATCATTAATCTGGAAGGTCCCTCAATAATTTGGACAGGTCCTTGACTGCACTACCAACCTGAAGGCGTGCAGCTCAAATCCACGAGCTGCTCTGAGGGAGAAAGATGGACAATCTCCTCCTGTGCAATTTACTGCCTTTGAAAACCTACTAGAGGGTTGGCTATGAGTTGGTTCTGACTCAGTGATGCTTAAGGATAACAACAATGATGACTGGGGGAAAACTGTAACTTAAATTCCTAAGTGTTTATCATTCACATAAAACCACCAGTTAAACGTGCTAAGCAGCATATCATCTCAGGAAGATCCATCAGATCTCTGACTCCCTAAGGTCCCGACATACTGGGTCTTGGAGAGACCTCAGCCAGAAGTATCTACTGCTGATTCGGTCCCATTCTGCCTATGCCAATTCTACATGTTAGGTAGATACACTAATAAATAAATTCGCTGTTGTTGAGTCAGATCGACTCACTGCTGACCCTCCAGCAAGTTTTCAGAGAATGCAAACTGCATAGGAGAAGACTGCCTATTTCTCTCAAGGAGCAGCTGGTGGATTTGAACTGCCTACCCTAGAGATGGCCTAGTGGACAGAAAGTTATGCTACCAAGCCGAAGGTGGGTGATTTTAATCTGTGGCCCCCAGGCCAGGTTCAAATTGTCTTCCTGTCAAACATTCCTCTAGGGGTACAGCACTGGTCTGTGCGTTGCTGTAGAGAGGTAACTTGTAGTTGCTGTGATGCTGAATAGTGGGACACTGATGTGCCAAACGTGGTAATGGTCACCCATGGTGGACAGTGTTTGCTGGAGCTTCCTGACTAAAACAAGCCTGGAAGCAGGAGCAGCATCCACTTCCAAAATGGCTTGCCTCTGGAAACTCTATGTAGGAACAGTGCTCAGGCCTTTCATTCATTCACAGGGTTGCTATGAGTAGTTTATGACTTGATGGCACCTAACAACAACAACAACCCTAGAGTTAAGAAAGCAACTTTCTACTTAGTAGGCCACAGGAATTGGATAAGTATTACTGCTTAATTCCATCTTCAAGGATCAATTCTGGAAACCATTATGTAAACTTTTTATGTCATCAGATTCTGAGATTCTCCCTATATTTGGTTTTGTTCAGATTAAATCACCTGGGTCTAAAAGAGATTACTAAAGCACTAGGTGCCACAGGCAGGGCTTATGCAAGTTATTTGAACTGGGCCTTTTCATTCCTGGCAACGTAAAATAACGATGCGTCCAGAACAGGTAAATGTAGAGACCACAGTTGCTCAGCTGTTACCAGAGCTAGCAGAAGGGAGAGAAGGGGAGTCCTTGTGGAGAAAGGACTGAGTTTCTGTTTCGGGTGATGAAAATCTGAGAACTAATACTGGTGATGACTGTAAAACAGAATTCATTCAATTGGTATCATTAATTTGTACAAACAAATGTTAAATTGCCAAATACTGTGTTTACAGATTTTGATAACAATAAAAAAGTAGTGGGAAAATAATAATTTCAATGCAGCAGAAACATATTCCTTTATAAAGAAAGATAATCCAGCCTTGCCTTTTAATTTCTTACTTGGAAAACTGGAGTTACTTATATTCCTTAGTCTTTTAAAGGTTATAAGTGTTGGGAGCACTGGTAAAAAGTAAACTACATTATTACTATTTTAAGCATGGAAGAAATACTTTCTAATCTTGTCATTTAAGGTCTCATCGTATTTTTATTTAACTTACCTCCAAATCCATCAGGCACGTATGTTTTAAGCACAATATTGCAGAAAATAGTTGGCAGTGATAAAGGTTTATTCCCTTCATTTCGGAGAGAGATGTGTCGGTAGCCTGCCTGGAGGCCATCCAGGGGGAGGATCCGCTGGCCGATGAGCTTATTGTTGTCATCATACACTGCTATCCTCAAGACAGCCAAGTCCGGGAGGATGACCTGAAACAAAGACCAGGGCTTAGTCCCGGGAGGATCACCTGAAACAAAGACCAGGGCTTAGTCTGGGAGGATCACCTGAAACAAAGCCCAGGGCTTTGAATTGACCTTTATTTTCCAAAAACTGTGGTAAAAATATACATATCAAATCATCTACCACCACCACAGCTTCTACATTTACAGTTCAACATTCATTCCATTTTTTCAAGATATACCACCGTTAGATGCTATCTTTTTCTGAAATAGTTTACTACCTTTAACTTAAACACAATTACTCCAAAAAAAAACAGTCCTCCTCACTTCTCACTTCTGGTCATTATTCATTGTTGGTTTCTAGATGTTTACTTGGTCCATGTATGTGAGACCACATCATCCTTTTGTGACTGATTTTGCTCAGCGTGACATGGTAAGGACTCATCTACAATTTTTTTTACAGCTGCATAATATTCCACTGTGTGTGTATACACCATAGTTTTGTTTATCCATTCATCTGGTTCATTTGATTAATTATACATTTTGATTAGTGTGAACTGAGCAGCAATGAACATTGTCTATTTATATTGTAGCGTTCAAGTCTCTAGGGTGTATATACTTAATAATAAAATTGCTGGGTCACATGGTTAATGCTCAGGTCAATATTTTGAGGAACTGCCAAACTGTTTTCTGTAGTGGCTGCACCATTTTACACTCCACCAATGAGAGATGAGGGTTCCAGTTTCTTTACAACTTAGACAATACTTAGTGTGGTGTTTTCTTTTTCTGATCCTTGATATTCGAATGCAGTTAAAGTAGCAGGTCCTCGTTTTTTGATTTGTACCTTTCTTTCTGATAGTTATTGCTACTGCTATGTGCCATCAAGTCAGAACTGACACATAGCTAGCCCTTTGGCGGGTTTTTAGAGGCTGAAATCACCGGGGAGATTTCCTCTCTTTCTCTCATGAAGCAGCTGGTGCATTGAAACCACATGCCTTTCAGTTGGCAGTGTCAGCTCTTTAACACTTCAGCCACCAGAACTGTGACTCATTCCCGCCCTCCCCATGTGCTACTTGAATATCCTCTTTGGGTTATCCTCTTTGTTCTCTTCCCAGGTTTTGATTGGATGGTTTGTCTTTTTGTTAGTAATGTGTAAAAAAAGTTCTAAACTGGCTACTAGGTCCTCATCTGATATACTGGGAACTTAGGGAGCTCTGGTGGCTGAGTGACAAGAAGCTGCACTGCAATCCTGAAGGCACAGGATTCAAGGCCGCCAGCTGCTCTGCAGGAGAAGGAGGGGTAATCTCCTCCAGTGGGATTAACTGCCTCTGAAAACCCACCAGAGAGTCAGATTTGGGTCAATATTGACTTGATAGTACACAACACCACCACCATCACCACCACCTACTACTGGGATGGCCTGCCTTTAGGGAGTGACACTGCTGATCTTAATGCTGTGAGTCTCAGTTCAGATGCACCAGCAGGTCTGCAAGAGAAAGACGGGCTGGTTTGGTTTTGTTTTTATGGGTTTTTGTTTTTTCAGTTTATGGCCTTTGAAACCAGATGCAGGGGAGGTCTAAGTCAGAAATGGATTATGTTTCTATTAAAAATTTGATATGTTTCCTGAGAATTTTCTCCTCATCTGCAGGTTGTCTTTTCCACTTTGTTAATAGTCCCTTTATCCTCTATGGCACAAAATCATGGATTTTTATAGCGTAGCTTCCATGAACCACACTCTAATATTCTGACCCATATACCACATTGTTAAGTGACAATAAGTTTCTTCCAACTCACAGTGACCACATGTAATAAAGTTGAAATGTCCCTTGGGTTTTTCTTGGCTATAATCTTGGTGGACATTGATTGCCAGGTAATTCACCTGAGGTCTCAATATGTGTGTTTGAACTACCAGTTGGTAGCTAAGCACTTAACTGCTGCATTACTAGAACTACATCCATGTGTTCTTTTTGTTGTTGAGTTTCCTTTAATGACCCCTAGCTTTGGTGGCCTAGTAGTGAGGAGCTGTGCTGTAATCCTGAAGACACATGGTTCAAATTCACCAGCTGCTTCATGGGAGAAAGATGGGCAATCTCCTCCTGTGCGATTAAACTTGCCTCTGAAAACCCACTGGAGGGTCAGCTAAGGGTCATTTCTGATTTGATGGTACACAACAACAAAAGCATTGTATCTGAAGGGCAGGTGAAGGCAGCAAAGTGACAGTCAGTCCCTTGAAGACCTTGCCCTGGCTGAAGGTTTTGTCCTGGAAGGACTCAGCTCAGGGACAGTACTCTCACACCAGCCTCTGGGCCTCCGCATGACTAGGATCTAGCTTCTGCCATGTGTACGACTCAGAGTTCACCAGTCAACCTGGACTCTGTAGGAGGGTAAACTCTTGGCCTCTGAAGACCCAGATTCCAGAAATGCAGCTGCCAGGTTGGGAAGATGAACAGATCGGCCAGATTCTGCAAAGGTGCGCTTTCTGGTTTGGGGTTGAAACTAGGCTGTGGCTCTTGTTTGCAACAGGATGTGAGCTGACTGTATTTGGCCTCTAATTTAAAAAAGGCTTTTGGGCCCTTGGGCCTGTGGCCCTGGACCTAGTTTTTGTGGATCTCCCCAATAAAACAGGCTTGGCAGCAGGAGCGGCATCCACTGCTGAAAAAAAAAAGCTTGCCTCCAGAAACTCTACAAACTTGGAGAAAAGAGAAAGTTTTGTGTTCAAGACTTAAGTTCACAGGGTCATTACAGGTCATCTATGACTCTACGACACTTAATAACACCACCAATTACAGCTGGTTCCAAAGAAGCAGACACTGGCAAAGGTATTCTCCCTCAGTTTACCTAATTGCTGAAACATTCCAGTGCTGAGGCTGCAGCTCATGACGGTCTGGATGAGCTCCTCAGGGAAGCAGTCCTCAACATACTACAAGGGCCAGCCATCCTTATCAGAGTGTGCCCCACAATGTGGCAGGGCTACAGAGAGCTATCTTCACTGGACTACTTGCTCTTAAACATAGAAAGGTATACGTGGTCAAGCAAAGGGGTCCTTGGCCTTTGGCTCAGGACCCAGGGGCTGCTCATATTTATCCATCTTCTTCTTGGGAGCTAGAATAGCAGCTGCCTTTTCCTCTTCCTTCCATTCAGCCTGGGGCTTCTCCTACTCCTCCTGTGGTCCTCTCTCTTTCTATAGGAGATCATTTTAAGGCTGGCTCTCTGCAAACTTCTTAGCATTGCACTAGTTTTTCTTTTCACAGAGCTTTATTTCCCCCACAACAGCCTCAAACTGGGGCTGGTCATTGCAGGTGAGGAACAACTAGGAGGCATTCTAAGCTGATTTAAACCTGGAACCTGTGGCAATCTAGGACTGTCACGTAGAAGGTGCACTCCTCCAAGGAGGAGGAAAGAGGCTTAGAAACAGAAGAAATTCTTATCCTGAAAAATTACAGACATCACCCATTAGAAAAGGGAAAGAAAAACCAAAGAAGAAAAATAAGATGTGAATTTAATATGCAGCCTCTGATGACTTGGTGGTAAGGAACTGCACTGCCAAAGGTACATGGTTTGAATCCACCAGTTGCTTCACAGGAGAAAGGTGAACAATCTCCTCTAGTGCAATTTACTGCCTTTAAAAAGCCATTGGAGCTGATATCTCATAGTTGTGATACCATCTCACCCCAGTCAGAATAGCAAAATTTAACAGAACAGCAAACAACAAATGCTGGTGAGGTTGTGGAGAAACTGGAACCCTTATTCGCAATTGGTGGGAGTGTAAAATGATGCAACCACTGTGGAAGGTGGTATGGTGCTTTCTCAAAAAGTTGCAAATAGAGATACCATTTGACCCAGCAATTCCACTACTGGGAATATACCCTAAAAAGACCATAACTGCCAACCAAGCAGATATATGCACACCCATATTTATTGTGGCTTTGTTCACAATAGCAAGGACTTGGAAACAACCTAAGTGCTCATCAACAAATGAATGGATAGAGAAGTTGTGGTATATTCACACAATGGAATACTATTCTGCATTGAAAAAAGAGGAACTCATGCAATACTATTCAAAATGGGTGACCCTGGAGGACACTATGCTGAGTGAAATATATCAGTCACAAAAGGACAAATACTGTATGGTGCCACTGTTGTAGAAGGAGGCTGACATCAGGGTGGGGGTAAGACTGAGAAAAACTGGATAAATTATGTATACTGCATCAAAGCCAGTGAGGGAGAGAACAGTTTAAAGAAATATATTTTAGGGCATTATGATTATCATAAGAGTTCGGAATGAGGGTTGCAGAGTGGAGTATACTCGGGGTGGGAATGTGGGGGTGTGGGGAGATTGTATACCAATGAAGGAGTTTTTCTTTTGCTTTTCAAGGAGAAGAGAGAACTAGGGGTGGGGAGAAAAGTGCAACAACGAATGAATGGAAATAAAAAATCTTTATAAATGTTCATTGAAATGAATAATAATAATAATACAAGATTTTAAAAAAAGCCATTGGAGCTTTGAGTCAGTTCTGACTTGGCGGTACACAAAAACAACAACATGGACCAAAATAAGACTCGAAGTCAGTAGAGCAAGTTGGACGCACTGAAAAGGTCTTACCTTCCGAAAGACAAATGATTCCTCATTGTAAACGGGATTGAGACCATTGTTCATCACCATCCGAGTTCGGAATTCCTTACGGATAGTGTCGGTGGGCAGGCCGTACATGTCCACTTCTACGTACGTGCCAATTTTCTTATCTGATAAGAACTGACCCGATATGACCTAGAGCCACATGAAAACAGGAGGAGAGAGGCAAATTCTAATTATCAGTAGTCAAAATAATTAGGACATAAAAAAATTATCTTTTTTTGGAAATTTTAATTATATACAGAGATAATGCATTTATACCATATTAAATCAAACAGCAGTCAGCAACTACTGTGTACCATAGACCTTTATGGGCATTTAAAAAAAGAAAGAAATAAAAACTATGTAAGACTTATATAAAGCAAAGGAACAGTGCCTAAAGTATGTTTTCCCCACCTTAGTGTCTACACTGGAATGAAGTGATGTCCTCAGCTCTGAAATTCTGTTGTACTATATTTAATACTCAATTAATTGAAAAGTCTTAAGAGGCAGGGAAAAGAAACTAATTCTAGAATTCTTCTGTTCTTGGTTTCTCCTATCAACAATGATAAGAAGGCATTACATATTTTAACCTACTGTTAAAGAACAATGTGAAATATCACTATAAGGAGAGATTATATTTTGGTTTTCAAATGACAATAACCATTTATCAGTTTTTACAGAGGATGAAATAAGTTTCTCCTTGTAGGCTTAGGATTTTAAAGCTCTGTCTCACATACTTCGGGCACGTGGCCTTGGAGAAGGATATCATGCTCAGAAGGGTGGAGGGACAGCATAGGAGCGGAAGACCTCGATGAGATGGATTAATAGAGTAACTGGGGCTATAGGGGTCGGTGTATCGGAGTTAGTGAGACTGGCTCTGGACAGGGGAGGCTTCAGAGCCGTTATACATAGGGCCGCTATGAGTCGCAGATGACTCGATGGCATACAATAACAACAAAAATAGCCAATAACTTTAGAACAGCTTTGTTGAGACGTAACTGACTTTTGAAACACTGCCAATTTCTAAAACGTAAAAGTATGTGGGTTTGACATATGAGCACATCTTTGAAAAACCATCACCATAATTAAGATAACAAGTGTTTCTATCACTTCAAGAAGTTTCGCTGTGGCCTTTTGTAACCCATCCCTCCCACCATCCCTGTTCAAAAGTAGTCACTTTCTGTCACCATCCATTAGCTTGTATTTTAAATAATTTTACATTTACATAATGAATGAATCATATGTGATGCATGTATTTGATGTCTTTCATTCAAAATAGCTAATAATTTTACTAGTGGAAAAAAAGTACATCATAAGATAAAAGGGAGATTTTAAGTAAAAGCAGAGAGCAAATTATGGATCTTTCAATATGTAACATTAAATATGTTTAATGTAATTTCTTAAGAATTTGGCAGGTTTAGCTGCACGTAAATAGGGAATTGCCCTGATAACCCAGAAGAGGGAGTTCTCTGGCAGTTTGAATCTACGAGCAGCAACAGGGGGACAAGATGAGCAAACCTCACCAGTGTGATTTGTTGTAGTGTTGCTGATTGCCATCTAGTCAAGCACGACTCACAGCGACCCAATGAACAAAAGACCTGAAGCTTTTCTGTAACTATCATCATGTCTCAAAGTTCATAGAGTTTTCAAAGGCCAAGTGGTTTAGGAAGTGGATGCCACTTCTGCTGCCAGTGAGACTTTCAGCCTTGAAAATCCAAAGGAGGGTCAGCTACGAGTCATTCCAACTTGATGGGTATGACTCTGACTTTAGTGGTAACGAGTTTCACTGCCAATCCAAAGGTATGTAGTTCGAAGGGTCAGCTATGAATTGGTTCTGACTCAACAGTACACAACAACAACTGTCAAGAACAGTCCTCAGAGTTCCACTGGTTAATTTACAATATAACTTCCATACTAAATTTAGCAAAGGTGAGAGGATTCCATTCTTTTACAGCAGCCTCACCTGTACTGAGCAAGTGGCCGCAATAACCCCGTCAACAGGAGTTTCGGAGAAAGGATCAAATGTTCGATCAGGTCGCCTCATGAAGTCTGGCTTAAGCAGGTACCTGGTGGGCAGAGGAAATGGAAGAGTATCTTTTATTATCATCCCTTTAAAGCACTAAACTTCCTTTCCTGCCCTTTGACTGGAAAAAAAAAATCCCAATCCCTCTGCCCCATTGAGTAGACTTGATTCTTGGTGACTCTCAAGCTTCTGAAGTTGTAAATATTTACAGATGGAGAATGCCCATATTTCTCCTGTGGAGTGGCTGGTGGATTTGAACTTCAGGACTTTCAGGTAATGCAGTAAGCCACCAGGGCTTCTTTCTTCTCGAGTTTAGAAGCGAGAATATTAGGCAGCCGGTTAGAATCTCCACAAGGGAGTTTTCAATTGAACTGAGGGTTTCTAACACAGAAGAAACAATCCTCCTATATTTACAGCCTCAGCAACTTATGCATCCCACTCTCCAAGCATTATCAACTCATTGTAACATGTGTGTGGTCAGTATCAGACTGTAGAAATTTTTAAAAACCTTCAAATTTCTTCATCTTTGGCCTCTGTGGTTTGTGTGCTATTTGGAGTCAAGGTTGTATTGGCTGGTTCTCCTTGTACGTATATGGATAGTACCCAGTCAATGACAGCACTGTGTTTTAAAGACAGATCTTGAAATGATCCTTTTGACAATTAATTTGTCATTCTCAGCATAGTACACTGATTGATTCAAAGTGGCCAGAATCAGTCTATTTCAGCTTACCAATGCCAAGATCACACAATGAACTTGATGAGTTATATTTCATTTTGATAATTTCCTGTTTTCTATGATTCATACTTCATTCATTCATTCTATGGTCCAATAACAACAGGTATTTGTAGCCATGTGTTGTCCTTTTGAATTGAACCACACACACGTGCAACTAAAGGCTGTACAAGCTTTCATCAATGCATGCCATTAAGGTAGATTCTATTTTAAGGATACAGTTCTTCCCCGCTTGTATTTTCAGTATCTTCTGACTTTAGGAGCTCAGCTCCCAGTATTTTATTGGATTCTGTTCTGCTACCATCTATAAGCTTTTCAACTGCTCTTTCTTTTTTTCCACAAGTAGATTGTTAAATCCCTGTTCCTGGTCTTTCTTGAGATGATTGGTAGATTGAGGACTTAAAAAATACTGAAGATAATTTTGAACATTCTCCTGACCCTACGAAGATGCACCACAAATTACTGGCCTAAGTGCATGTAATTGTTGCTATGTACCTTTGAGCCAGAACGAACTCAGAGCTGACACTCCAGCTGGTTTTCAGAGGCAGGGGAGGAGATTATCCATCTTGCTGTCTAAGATCATAATGGAGACCCCCCCCCCCACCAGTGGCCTCCCGGTAAAGAGTTACCAGTAAAGAGTAAAGAGTTAGTGGTCAAAGTCAACCCAACTGTCTATGATTCTAATCCATCTGCTGCCCTTTGGGAGAAAAACGACTAATTTCTTCTTGTGCAATTTGTTGTTGTTGGGTACCATCATGTCAGAACCGACCCGTAGGTGACCCTTAGGTGGGTTTTCGAGGCAGTAATTGCACAGGAAGAGGAAAGAAGCTGCCATTCTTTCTCCTGTGCAGCAGCTGGTGGATTTGAAACTCAAACCTTGGGGTTGCTAGCACAACTCTTTGCTACTAGGCCACAAGAGTTCCCTTCGGTCTCTTGAAAATCCACTGGAGGGTAAGTTATGAGTTAGTTCTAGCTCAAGGGCACCTAACACCAACACTGCCACCACAACCTGCGCAAATGGGGTGTACGTGTGTGTGTGTGTGTGTGTGTGGTGTTAGCAGATCTGAGAATATCATGACCCAACAGAATGTAATGGACAGGGTGTCAAGTGGATGAATAATTCCAACACTAACATCTTCTCTGGCCGAGTAGATGAGTAGCAGGTTGGGAGGGACAGTAACAAAAGATGGCTCTGGCTTTCACACAAGGGGCAGGGCCTGGCCTTCACTCTGGAATGAGTGATTTTGCCACCTGAGAAAGGTTCGGGTATTAGGACAGGTGTATAGGACTGAACTCATCTTTTTGGTACAGAATCTCCTTGGGCAGTAGCTGCTCAGAGACTCAACACTCCAAACATCCCGCAGTCATGTCTTAAAGGCCAGGAGACCCTTCATACCAAAACAGAGAAATGTGACCTGAGGGGGTCTCATGTTAAAACCACTCTTCTACATTCCCCCATTTTTTTCAAATTTGCTTAGAAGTTATTACTTAAGAAGCAATTTCTTCCTCTGGAAAAAAAGTGAGCTGGTCCAAAATGAGGAATGTTTCAGCAATGAGGCAAAGATGACAAATCTGGTCTCCAAAGCTAGAAGATTTTAGTGAAAGATGATTATTTAGCTCACTTAAAAAAAAAAAAAAGAGCAAGCAATTAAACATCTGACAGGACACTAAGGCTGGCCTAGCCTTGGACTGACCACCTGGCCAATCTGTCTTGAAGGAGCGTCAGTTCTGGGAAGAAGGACAGACAGCCTGGAGAAGAGGCTGCGATGCCATTCACAGCTCCTTGGTCTCCCTGTCTGACTGGTGGCCGGCCAGGCCCATGGGCCCAGGCACTGACAAGCAAGCAAAAGCCTGAGCCTGGGACCAAAGCTGGCTTTACGGGTGTGCCAATGAGCAGGATGGACTCCACGCTGGCCTTAATGTGGGCAACGTGCATCTCAAACATCTTAGTGACTTTTACATAAGGGTCTTTCATTTCATTTTGAAAGGGGCCCTACAAATCACAGGGCTGGTCTTGCTTAGTGCTTTTCGGTACAGGAAATGAACTTACAGTGGACACCCAGATCTTCATGGCTGTTGTGAGATGCCATCTAGTCAAGCACAGCTCACAGTGATCCTATGAACAACAGGCATGAAATCTGCTCTGTCCTGTGCCAACCTCACCGTCTCTGACACACTCGAGCCCACTGCTGGAGTCACTGGATCAATCCACCTGGTTGGGGATCATCCTCTCCTTCACCGTTCCTTCATCTTTCCAAGCATGACATCCTTCTGCAAGGAACAACATTTCCTAACAACATGCCAAAGAGATGAAGCTTTGTCATCCTTGCCTCCAAGGAACACTCTGTTTGCATTTTCTCCAAGACTTATCTGTTTTTTCTTTTGGCAGTCCATGGGATATTCCGCACTCTTTTCCAACACCGCAGTTCAAAGCCATCAATTCTTCTTCTGTTAGCCTTAGTCACTGTCCAGCTCTTCAGCAGCAAAGCAAATGATTAAGACGACCACAGTCTGAATCAATCACACCTTAAGTCCTCCAATTAACGACCTCAGTAATTTGGAGATTCTCCTTAGAACAACTGGTGCCAAGAATAGCGAGTGTAGATTCAAGTGAGATGAACTATTATAACAATGAACTATTATAAACTATTAGAATATGAGAGACCTAGAATTGGAGAATTAAAAGAGAAGAACTCCCTCAGAATTTCTCAAGCTGAAAGAACAGAAAACAAATTCAAGTCCTGAGTTTCAATACTTGAGAGATACAATGGGAAAAAATTTATATGATTCAAGAAGCATCAAAAGAACATGGAAGGAATAAAGAGTCACTGTACCAAAAATCACATGTCAACACGGAAATATTCAGGAAATACCTTGTGGTCAAGAGCCAATGGTAAAGATGGAAGAGGTTCAAGCTACAAGGAAGGCACTGGCAAAATACAAGGCTCCAGAATTAGTGGGATGCCAAGTGACGTATTTCAGATACAGATGTAGTCCTGGACGTGTTCACTACTCTGCCAGGAAATTTGGGGGACAACTGCTTGGTAACCAACTAGATGTGTTCCATATTTGTTTCCACTTCCAAAAAAGGTGGTCCAATAGGTTGCAGTAGTTATTAAAAATGTAATTAAGATCACATGCAAGCAAAATATGGCTGAAGATCACTAAAAAAAAAATGGCTAGCACAGCACATAGACAGAGAACAGCCAGGAGCTTAAACTGGATTTAGAAGAGGCAGTGGCACCACAGATATCATTGCTGATGTCAGATGGATCCTATTTGAAAACAATGAATACTAGGAGAATCTCTCTTTGAGCTTTATTGACTATGAAAGGCATTTGACTGTGTTGTTGTCATTGTTAGGTGCTACTGAGTCAAGTACAAGCCACAGTGATGCTGTCAACAGATCTGAACCCTGTCCTCCTATCCTGTGCTGTCCTCACAATCTCAGACGCCCTCGAGACCATGTGGATCATAACAAAGTATGGCTAACATTGAGAAGAATGGGAATCCCAGAGCACTTAACTGTGCTCATGCGAAACCTGTACCGAGACCAAGAAGCTGTTGTGCAAACACAGCAAGAGAATCCTACAGGGTTTAAAATGAAGAGAGGAGTGTGTCAGAGTCATATCCATTCACCATACCTATTCAATCTCTAGGCTCAACAAATTATTTAAGAAGCTTGATTCTACGAAGAATGTGGCATCAGGATTGGAGGAAGACTCATCAGTAACCTTCAGTATGCGTATGATGGAAGTTGCTTGCTGACAGTGGGGAGGACCCGAAACACTTGCTGTAGAAGATCAAACTCTGCAGCCTTCAATATGGTTTGCATTTCCACATGAAGAAAACAAAAGTCCTCAAACACTGGGCCACTAGGCAGCACCATAACAGATGGAGAAAAGATTGAAGCTGTCAACGACTTCACCTTACTTAGATCCACAATCAGTACAGTTGGTCCCCACAGAGAGGAGATCAGGAGATGTACTGCTGTGGGAGCACAATCTACACGGAGGACGGGGCAAAAGGCAGGGGCAAATGGCAGGATCCAAGGATCTCTGTGTCTTGCACAAAGCAAAAGTAAGAGAACAGCTTTCACATAGGAGCCACCAAAATCAAGAGGATAAGGTCTGAAGGAAGTATTATATTTTATCACCACTAAGATGCCTTCAATCATAAACTCCATTATTTCCTTTACTACCCAGAAAGCTACAAAGGAATCTCGCAATGTGCAGATAACTTCTCCAAAACAACAAACCACCAGAGAAGTCTCATAGTTTAGGAGGCTCCAAGTTCGAGTCCCAGGTACCAGCTCTAGGGAAGGTTCTCTCTCTGGCAATTCTGGAGGAGGGTTCTTGCCTCTGAGCTTCTGCTCCTGGACCATCTTTCGGTGACTTAGTGTCTCTGCTCTTCCATCTGACAGGCACGGCTGGCACAGCACGATAATGTCCTGGGTAAGGTCAATGTCTTGGCTGGATCTGGTGTTCCTCACTTGACCTAAGGCCTATGGGCAGAGGCAAGTGGAAGATCCTTTCATCCTTGCCTCTCCTTGTCTGCTGTGAGCCTAGGAGCTGTCAGTATTGTCTGGTGGAAGTTCAAGGCCAGCAGGGTCTGGTGGAAGTTGAAGGTCAACAGAATCTGGTGGAAGTCAAAAGGTTGGGATTCTACCTGAATGAAGATGGTGGAGACAGGTGAAAGATCCATTTTTTCCCTTGCTTCATTTTGCCTGCAGCCTTCAATATGGATTGCTTCTCAACATCAAGAAAACAAAGATTCTCACTACTGTACTGATAGGCGACGCCAATTTCTTACTTGGACCCCCATCAACACCCTTGGTACCAGCAGTGAGGAGACCCGGAGATCTATTGCCCTGGGAAAATCTGCAGTCAGGGACATCTCCAAATTATTGAGGGATAATGATGTTATTTTAACACGAAGGTGAGCCTGATTCAGACCATGATCTTTTCAATCACGTGCTGTGGTGCTGAGAGCTGGACAATGAATAAGGATGACAAAGAAGTGATGCCTTTAAACTATGGTGTTGGAGAAGAGTATTGAACGTCCCATCACAAAAAATCAGACATGTTTTAGAGAAGGTGCAGTCAGAACGCTCCCCAGACACAAGGATGGCAAAGCTTCATCTCACAGACTTTGGACATGCTGTTAGGAGAAGCTATTCCTTAGAGAGGGACATCATGTTTGGAAAGGTGGAGGGATGGTAAAGGAGAGAAACTGGGTGGTCTGACACAGTGACTGCAGAAATAAACTCGAATGCGTTAGAGTGTGTGTGGTTGACACGGGATAGGACAAGGTTGAGATCTGTTGTTCATAGGGTCACTATGAGGTACATATGCCTCAATATCACCTGACAACAACAGCCCATAAAGCAAACAGGCTGCTGATGGTTACTGTAAAATGTCACAGATTATCAGAAACACTCTAATGTGAGAGTGTGACTTTAAAAGTACACATCTCCAAATTACAAAATGTCATATTATTTTGATATCAGTCAAGTTCTTACAAAACCTAAAATCACTTAGGTATTAATTTACTCCATTATGTTTCAATAATAATTATAAAAATGCCTTTCACTCTTCCATCTTAACAAAACGAGGCAGTAATAAAATGGGAAGCAGGAGTGACATCTACTTCCTAAACCACATGCCTCTGGAAACTCTATGAACTTTGAGAAACAATGATAGGTATATAGAAAGACTTCAGGTCTTTTGTTCACAGGGTTGGTATGAGTTGTGCTCGACTCAATGTCAATCAATCAACAACAACAACAACAATAAACCATTGCTGCCTTTCTTGATTAAAAAATCACTTTGAGGGCCTGGTGGTGTGGCCATTCATGTCCCCAGGGAGCAGAGAAGGACTCTCAGGTGGGATTCTGGATTTGGGAAGTGTTCCTGCACTTTGCGCACTGATGCTCTATATAAGAGCTACTGTTTGCTGCCATAAGCCTCTTAGAAGGCACAGAACTGACACTTCACATAAACAGCCCTTAGAGGAATCTCAAAGGGAATTTTCAAAAAGCTACTGCAAGCTGGTGGCAAATGACAAAAGCCATATCATGAGAGCCCTGCCCTGCCCTGCCCAGTGACCTGGCCCCTTGAGAAAAGGCCGGTGTCCTCACCCAGTCCTGCGGTGTTTACTGGCTATTACGTCTCAGTTGCTGAGGGACAAAGAAGCAGTGAAGTGAGAAGGACATGGTTCCTTTTGCTTGGGGGTGGCCACCTCTGCCTCCAGGTTATGTGAAGAAACTGAGCATGCATATTATGCCCCTGGATAATACTGTGAATGCCTCTTCAAGTTGAGATGCCCCACTGACGAATCCATATCTCAGCATTTCTGGTTGAACATGAGTCTCCAGGGAGTGCAAAAAGTTGAAGTACTTTGCTGTTAATCCAAAGGTTGGAGGTTCAAGTCCACCAAGAGGCACCCTGGAAGAATGTCCTGGACCAGCGCTCTATTTAATTATTCGTCAGCCACGGGAAGTCCAGTGGTGTACAGGCCACTGTGATGTACACAGGAACGCCTGGATCAGACGACGCCACGGTGATCCGTTTGGTTTCTGTGGTCTTGTAGTAGGTCTTATGCATTTGGCCACACTGAGTCAGAGTCAATCTGCTAGAAGTTAACAACTAGAACAGCAATCTACTACTACTTCGCTCATAAAATTTAGGGAGTATTATTTAAGTGCAGAATGATATTCCAAGCATTAGTCTTTGATAACTGCTATTTCCTAGACATGCCAAGCTTTACTCTTTGCTGAATTAAGTTCAACTTCACCCGTAACCTCATTATATACTAAGTTAACTTCATTCCTATATTTTTCCCCCTAGGTGGAATACACATATTTTTGCATCCTTGTCTCTAGCTAAAGTTCAAATGAGTAAGACTCATTATCTCTCCCAGCTATAAAAAGTTCCACTCTTAACTTAAAATGAGAGACTCAAACTCTGGTGTATGAGAAACCACTTACCTGGCTTTAAAAAGTGTGTTTAGTAAAACTAGGGGAGAGTGTATGTTCATAAAAAGAATGTACCTAGAGACTCCATTTGTCTCTACTCATCTCTCAAAGCCAGCTTAAATGCACCAGCCCCTAATTAAGAGTGGCGTCCTCTCATTCTGGCTGTGGCGTGGAGTTCTGAACAAGGTGACAGCAGTTTAAATCACATTACTCACCCGCAGGATCCATTATACTCAAATTTTCCCTGATTCAATTGCATCGCTAAATCTGTCAAGAGACAAAAATAATTTAGCTCTTCGTCTCCCTGGACAAAGACGATCCTGACAAGGTAATTTCAAACTATAAATCAGCTTGCTGACCTCTACGGCACCAGAAGATATCACAGGGTCTGCTTAAGGCCTTGAGGCGTACAAGTCTCTGCTCAACCCTAAAATTTAGCCTTCATATTTAAATAAATAGCCTAAAATGTGTTTTCACAAGACCATGTTAGAAATATTAATTCCCAACCTCCCATACTTGCGTTAAAAAGCAGATTCAATATATAAGACACAACGATTATCTAGTTAGTGCTAATAATGCAAATGGTTCACAAAAGAGGACTTCAACAAGAGGAACTGACACACAGTGACTGTAACAACTGGTAGAGCTTGGCAGGAGTTGTGAGAGTGGCACAGGTCAGAGACAGGTTCTGCTCTGGTGTTCACTGGGTCACTACGTGTTGTGGATGACTGGGCAATCTCCTCCTATGCGATTTATTGTGTCTGAAAACCCGCTGGAGGATCTGCTACCGGTTGGTTCCGACTTGACAGTACACAACAACAACAATAAATAGATAACTGTCCAATCTGTCACTATTGGAGAATTTTGGACTTAAAATAGAGGAGAAAAACAATGGTGGAATGTTACTGGGCCTTATGACATGCCAGGAAAGAGAACACTGGAGACAGACACACCTGGAGGCTAAATCATATTAGAAATAAATGATAAAGCACTAGGTAAGATTTACACATGGCCTAGGACCTTGCTCCTGGTGAGAACTCTTCCACGGGGGTATATATTATTAGCAGGACATGGATTATAATTTGCCCCTTGCATTTGCATTTTCTGCTTACCAAGAAATAGGAAATAAAAGAAATAAAGAAATGGATGGATTTTTATTATTGATGTTTTAAATACGTTGTGGTTAAATCTAATCTTAGGTAATAAACCATAATCTCTTCCAGCAAATAAATTTATTTAGAATCACTTCATCTGTAGTACAGATCACGTAATGAAACACGTGTCGCTGTGAGAAACACTTGTGGGGATCACGGGGTCCACCCTGCACATCTGTGACTCTAGTCCCTGAGGAAGTTCAACCAAGTTGGGACATGTATTCAACTCACATTCAGGACAAAGAGGGATGGGAGTCAACATTTCTCAGCCACTTCAGACAAGAGAGCACAGAATGGGCAGAGACCCTTACAGCGCCATGGGGGTTGGGGGGGGGGGCGCTAGAGAGGTTAATGCACTCAAATTGAGAAGACTGACTCGTGCCTGCGTGCAACAAGCAAAGGGGGAAACCAGGTTCAAGGACAGTTTTCTACCAGATTTAAAGATGAGTAAACACAGACTTCTTGTGAGTGATCTGCTGTTGTTCTGGTAAGTAGAACCGATTCATAGCTGACCCTCAGTAGTTTTTCAGAGGCAGTTAACTTCACGGGATGAGACTTCCCCTCTCATCTCTTGGAGAGCAGCTGGCGGATTTGAACCACGTGCCTTTGTGCCGGCAGCACAGCTCCTTACTATTAAAGGCCCCAGAGCTCCTACAGCCTCGTATTTTGCTTCCTTTAATCTTATCATTGTGATTCTAGGTAGTTAAGCAGATCTCAGATTTATTTTAAATTTGTTTATACATCTATTAAAAAAATGTACTCCTCTCCTAGGGAAAATAAAAGGAAAAAACATTACATATTAGAAAGCTGCCTTTGAGTTGAATGTGGAGGTCACCTCACCCCCAATTCTCATGGTCAACTTGATCACACTGTGTGATTTTTGGTGAGACATTAACTTCATTGTTAATGTCTGCTCCATGCCAACCGTGGTCAGGGGACGTTCCAGAAATCACTGAGTCATACTTGTAGAGTTGTTATGAAGGGTAGTCAATGTGGTGGCACTTAACAACAACAACAACAACAACAACTAGAAGTTACTGTGCAAAGACATCACCATTCTTTGCAAATTATTCTTGTTTAATCCTGTCTTGGGAAACAAGGAAAAACATGTGATTTAAAAGAAGACAAATTAGAAATATTATGACAACATGGGGAACAATGTTCATGGCATTTGTAAAATCAATTTTAATCTAAACCCAAATGTATTCTCCGTCACTGCTGTTTTTCTGCCCTACTTTGTGTTTTTAATTTCTCACTTTCACACACACCCAATGACACATTGTTTTGCCATATGTCGGCTTTCTTTAAAAAATATCTAAAACCCAGTGACAGCAAATTTTGGCATGCATGGTCCCACCAAAGGCTTCCTGCGGAATCTGGGGTCACTGGACATTCGTGCCTACCTGGCGTTTGATAGTTCAGCGAAACCATCTGACAGCCAGCGTTCCAGAAAATTTGAGGCATGTAATTACTGGAATCCACGCGGCCTCCCTTGGGGTAAATGCGACTCATTTGCCGTTTGTTATAACTATGTTAACTTATTAAGGAAAACAGGAAAAAGGAGTAAGATGTCAGAGAGGAAGAAATAGCTAAAGCAATCAAGGTTTGAAAAAACAAATACAAAGAAAATGCTGGCAATTTTCATAAATATGAATACAATAGAAATAATGCTTAAGAGAAAAATCACGTTTGTACCTTAATGGAACAACTCACACTTAGACAGAATTTTGGATCTGCCATCTTTCACACTGTATTATGTAAAGAATCAGAATGATACACCAGATATTGAACCCTCTTAGGGGTTCCTGTTCAGTTAAAAATGCACAGACCACTCATTGTTCTCAACACTTAAGGATACTTCACAAATTCAATTGCATGTGTCTTCAAGTAGCCTAGACCGACCGACTCATTAAAAGAAGACATGTTATAATGGATATTGCGTTCTGGAAAGAAAAGCAAAGATTCATTACTAAATTCTGTCATCGAACCCTCACACAAACACAAGGCAAAATTATAACAGCATCCTGAACCACAAAGCTTGAGACGCAGATGTATTATGATTTTAGGATATGCTGACATTCATCTCCTGTGTCCACGAATGCTCTGTGGATGGAGGCATGGCTGCCTTGACATTAAAAGGAGAAGGATTAAGTTTTGAGCCATGAAACAAATTGTGAATTAAGAAACGTAGTTCACGACTGGTGGGGGTGGTAGAAGAAAAGGTGGTGACGTGGACTCAGTGCTGGTGATGGTGGTGGTTGAGGAAGTGGTGATGGTAGTGGAGGTGGGAATGGAGGTGGACGTGGTGGGAGAGGTGGTGATGGTGGTGGGATTGGAGGTGGAGGTGGGAGAGGTGGTGATGGTGGTGGGATTGGAGGTAGACGGTGGGAGAGGTGGTGATGGTGGTGGAAATGGGGGTGGTGGGAGAGGTGGGAGAGGTGGTGGAGGTGGAAGTGCAGGTGGTCACAGTGGTGGTGGTCGAGAAGGAGGCTTAGTGGTCAGGGTAAAAGAGATGGTGGAGGTGTTAGTAGAGGAGGTGGTGGTGGTATGGAGACAGAATGGTGGTGGAGGTGATGGCTTCTCCAGCCACACAGTGATTATGCAGAGTTTTATAATGCATGCTACATTTCTGGAGATCACTTTCTGATTAAAGTAGGTTGGTGAGAGCAAATGGAACGTGAGAATCTCAGGGCGAGTGCTCACAAATGCAGTCTCTCAGAGCCACCCTGTGGATGATAGGAGAACAACGCAGTGCCACTGCAGGCCAACAACAAGGCCTCTGCGGGGCTTGGAATAAAAATAAGGTGAGGTGCAGCTGCCCCCAGAGAAGAAAGTGGTGACAAATTAGACCAGAGCTCAACAGCGTAATAAAAGCAGACAAAAAGGCTATTGTGTTTAACCTTTGGTGTTACCTTCAGCCACATTGAAACCCTGGAACTTTACTGGCTGCGCGTAGTTGATCATGGTGGATAAATACGGATGGATGTTAGTGGTAGCACCTACGTATTTATAAGATGCCATCCACGCCTGCTCATCTTCCACAGTGACCAGGCCCTGCAAGTAACAAAGGGCATAAATGTCTATGACTTCAGCGGGACTTACAAATATACGCTACAGACTTCCTCACAGAGTGGAGTCTACACACACACACACACACACAGAGAACAATATAAGACTTTCCTCCTCAATTCATGCTAATGGGCAATTTCAAAAGTTAATACTTATTGCAGCTCTAAATAACACCAGAGGTAAAAAGAAAATATTCTATCTATTGCACATTTTTACATTTAAAAAGAAACTTAATGGATTCTAGGAACCATGCCGACTCTCAGAGCAATTCCATGAACTGTGTACAGTAGGTACTATTAGCCATCTTTTCCTATGTTGGAGGAACCCAAATAGAACATAATTTTTTAAACGTTTATTCTTAAATAATCTGGCCCATCACACTGTTGTTGTAGGTGCTACTGAATTGGCTTGAACTCATAGAGGCTCTATGTTTACCTGCTGGAAATCTTGGCTTCGCCCGTATGATCCTCACAAGCTCTGTTGGACTTATGCCCAATGTTGCAGTCCCTGTAAGGCCATCTCACTGAGGGTCTTCTCCTTTGATGACCTACTTTTCCAGGCCCTTTCCAAGGTCTGGACCCTCCTGACACATGCCCAAAGTCTCACCAACTTTATCGACAAGGAGCACCCTGGACACGTTTCTTCCAAGACAGATCTGTTTGGTTTTGTTTTTTGGTTGTTTTTTTTTTTTTTAGTCCATAATGTATTCAATACTCTTTACAACACAATCCAAAGGGTTCAAGTCTGTCGTTTTTATTCATTGTTCAACTTTCAGACATACAGCAAATGAAGCAAGTGAAAATATCATGGTTTGGGTCAAGCACCTCTATCTTTAAAGGGAGACTCCTGCTCTTAAGTGCTTTGGAGAAGACCTGGACAGCAAATCTGCTAATAGTGTGTTTTGCTTTAATTTCCTGACAACCGCTTCCCTAGGGGTTAATTAAATCCTTGAGAACTTCAATCTTATGCCATTAATAATGATGTTGTCTACCAGTCCAATTAGAAGGATTTTTGTTTTCTTGATACTGAAGTTTTTAGTCTCTGATCTTCTTCAGTGTTTCACGTCCCCTTCATTTTCAGCAAAGAAAATGACGTTATCTGTACAGCTCTGGTGGCCTAGTGGCAAGAAGCTGCATTGTAATCCCGAATTCCCGAGGTTCAAGGCCACCAGCTGTTCTGTGGGAGGAGGATGGACAGTCTCCTCCTGTGCAATTAACTACCTCTGAAAACCCACCAGAGGGTCAGCTATGGGTCACTTCTGACTCGACGGTACTCAAAAATAACATACAACATAGAGTCTTCCAATTCTTCTTTTAAAACTCCAGTGTCTCAGAATTTTTGCTCAGCATGCATATTGTAAAGGTATAGTGAAAGGAACAAATCCTGATGCAGATTTCTCCCGATTACACCTCGTTCCTCTGTTCTGTTCGAACTTTTGCTTCTTGATCTAGGTACAAGTTCTTCTAGAGTACAATTAACTGCTCTGGAATTCACATTCTTCTCAACGTTATTCATGAATTTATTATGATCTTCAGGGTCAAATCCCCCTGTACAGACAATAAAATACAAGTACACATCTTTGTAGGGAGCTCTGGTGGCGTAGACCATAGGGAGCTGTGCTGTTAATACCAAGGTGGTGCCTCTCCAATGGTTCTATTCCAGCTGGGGCTCTCAGGGCAAAGATGAGCAATTTTATATCATGCAATTTACATGTGCAATTTACCTCAGGACATGTGCTGCAGGATCAGCTATGACCTCGTGCAGACTCAGCTGCCGTGGGTTTGGATCTGAAAGCATCTGTGGTATTTTCTGCTTTCCGTAAAGATACCACTCACATTGATAATGATATTTCATACTTCCCAGTCTCCTCTATATCAAGTTTGAATATATGGCAAATCCTTTTTTTTCTTTTATTTTAAAGTTTTTATTGATTTTTAATTATACCAGTTCATTTACAAAATCTGAAGACATTGTTTTTCAGACCATATTCTTCCAATTTCCCTCATCCCCCATTCATGAAATTGTACAACCTCATGATTCTTTTTTGATGTATTGCTCCATCTCAGTAATTTAAAAATTATCTTCAGCAAGATTTTATTTGAATATGATATTAATGATAATTTCTACATTCTATTGGATCACTTTTTTTTTTGGAATAAGAACAAATATGGATCTCTTCCAGTCAATTAGCCAGGCATCCATATTCCAAATTTCTTAGCATGAAGGTGTGACCACATGCAGGGCTGCATCTGTTTGCTGAAAGACCTCAGCAGTATTCCAGTTCCCGCATCCTTGATTTTTGCCAATGCCTTCAGCGAAACTGGGACTTCTCCCTTCAGTGCCATTGGTTCTTGATCATCTGCTACTCCTTGAGCTACTGTAGTGCTGAGCAATTCATCTGGGTACAGTGGATCTGGTTTTCTTCCATCGTCTTTTGATATTCCTGTGTCAGTCAGTATCCTGTCTATTGCCGCCAAGTCAGAATCGACTCACAGCTGACCCTCTAGTGGATTTTCAGTGTCTGGCAGGAGACTGTCTGTCCTTCTCCCTTGGAGTAGCTGGTAGATCCAAACAGAGTACCTCTGCGTTGGCAGCACAGCCTCTACCCACGAGGTCTCCAGAGCTCCCTGTTCTGTCCACAGAAATCCTCAGTATCACAACTGGAAGGCTGAAGTTTTACTTTAATTCTTTCCATTTGAGAAATGTCAAAGCTGTTCTTCCCTTTTGGTTTTCGAACTCCAGGTTTTGTACATTTCTTTATAATACTTTGCTTTGTCTTCTTGAGCTGCCTGTTCAAATCTTCTATTCAGGTCTCTTATTTCACCATTTCTTCCTGGTGTGTTAGCTTCTCTCCATTTGAGAGCAAGCTTCAGAATGCCTTCTGACATCCTTTGTCTTTTCCTTCTTCCCTGTCTCTTTAACAACCTTCTGCTTTCCTCATGTACACTCTATCTCTGATGCTATCTCACAGTTACGCTGTCTCTGGTGGTTTGCATCCAAAACATCTATTCATTAGATTGTTTTTGTATTTAAGTGGGATAAATTCAAGGTTGTATTTTGGCTCATCTGGACTTGTTTTAATTTTCTTCAGCTTCAATTTGAACTTGCTTTCTACCATCTCTTTCCACAGATACAGCACAATTTGATTCCTGAGCACTCCATGTGGTGAGGTTCATATGGACATTTGCCGTTCATGAATCTTTTTTTTTCTTTCTTAAAAAATGTACTTATAATTAATAAATAATTGATTGATCTCTACCTATGACACTTTAAAACTGCATTAATTCACATTAAATAAAACTAAAAAAATCCTTCTTTGAAAAATCTACAAGACTGACATAAGTAAAGCCTTCAAAAGTAGTCAACATTTTGTAAAAAACTTTGAAAATTTAAATTTTCTGCATTGATCAAATATAGCTTCATAAATAGATCAGTTACAATAATCAATTCTCTAGGGGAAAATGATCAGAACGCCTGTTTGTCTCAATTGTTAATCTGGGTTCTCTGAATCATTAAATCTCTAAATCATTCAGCCTATAAAAAATGTGAGATAAACAATTAACTAATATGAACTGTTAAATGTAATCTCATTTTATGTATGCCCTGATTCTTCAAAATAATGGCAGGTGTTGTGTTTTATTCCTTTCTTGTTTGTTTGATAGTTATAAACAACACTGTACACACATACACGCACACACACATGCGCGCACGTGCGTGCACACGCGCACACTCGCTTGTTGTTAGGTGCTGTTGAGTTGAGAATGACTCATAGCAACCCTATGAACAACAGCTCTGAACCCTGTCCTGTCCTGTGTCATCTTCAGCATCTCTGACACACTTGCGTTCATTACTCGTCACCATGTCCATCCATCTAATTGAAGATCTCCCTCTCCTTCATGCACCCTCCATCTTTCCAAACATGATGTCCCTTTCCAAGAAATAACTTCTCCTAGTTACATGCCCAAAGTACGTGAGATGCAGCTTCACCATTCTTGCCTCCAAGGAGCACTCTGGTCGCACTTTTCCCAAGACATAGCTATTTGTTCTTTTGGCAGTCCATGGAATATCCAGTGCTATTCTCCAGCACCACAACTCAAAGGCATCCATTCTTCTTCTGTCATCCTTATTCACTGTTCAGCTCTCAGAAGTATAGCAAGTGAATGAAAAGACCATGACTGGAATCAGACACACCTTAGTCTTCAAACTGGCATCATCGCTCCATAGTAATTTGGGGAGGTCTCTGATAGTGGACCTGCCCAAAGCAATACGTCTTCTGATCTCCTGACTGCTGGTACTAAACGTGTTGATTGTGGATCCAAGGTGAAAGTGTTAGTAATTTCAAATATGCTCAACTCTGTATGTGCAACCTCATTAAAGTCAGCAATTATGTAAAATAAAGATCAGAGTTTTACCTACAGATCAAATGGTGAAAAGACCGAGGACCTGAAGATTAAGCAACCTTAGAGCCACTGAACTTATAACTACAACAGTGAAGGTCATTTGGCTTCAAAACTTTAAGAAATTATAGTATGAAAGACAGGCATGTACTCCTTAATATTTTGCGAAAAGATTGTGATAAGATTGACTCCGCTGGAATGGATAACCTATTGTTGTTATGTTCCATTGAGTCAAATATGACTCGCAGAGACCCTATGAAGAACCTATCTGAACACTGTCCTATCCTGTGTCACCCCACAGTCTCTGACACACTCAAGCCCACTGCTGCAGTCACCATGTCAACCCACTTGGTTGAGGGTCTTCCCCCTCTTGGTATGTGTTAAAAGTATGTGAGAGCAAGCTTCATCTTCTTTGCCTCCAAGGAGCACTCTGGCTGCACCTTCTCCAAGACATATAAATTTGTTCTTTTGGCAGCCCATGGGATATTCAGCATTCTTATCCAATACTACAGTTCAAAGGCATCAATTCTTCTGTAATCCTTCATCACTGTCTAGCTCTCAGATGCATAGCAAGTGACTGAAAAGACCAAGGCCTTAATCAGGCCCACCTTAGTCCTTAAACTGCCATACTTGGGGCATGCTGCAAGGAGGGACCAGTCTTTGGAGAGGGATGTCATACTTGGGAGGGTGGAGGGGCAGCACAAGAGAGGAAGACACTGGATGAAATGGACTAATTCAGTAACTGGGGTAATGGGGGTTGGTGTGTTAGAGACAATGAAATTGGCTCAAGTTAGAGCAGGGTTTAGGGCTGTTGTACATAGAGTTGCTATGGGTTGCAAGGGACTTGACAGAACATAACAACAATAACACCACCTCAATAATTTGGAGAGGCCTCTGCATACAGACTTTCCCAGTGTAATGGTTCTTCTGACTCTTGGTACCAAGTGTACTGATTGTGGATCCCAGTAAGATGAAGATATTAATGATCTCAATTCTTTCTCCATCCATCATGATGTTGCATAGCGGTGCAGTGGGAAGGACCTTTGTTTGCTTGATGTTAAGATGCAATCCATATTGAAGCTGCATTGTTTAACCATCTGAAGCAAGTGCTTGAAGTCTTCTTCATGTTCAGCAAGGAAGGGTATGTCATCTGCATTACGAAGGTTATTGATAAGTATTCTTCCAATCCTAATGCCACATTTTTCTTCATAAAGTCTAGCTTCTCAGAAAATTTGTTCTCATACTAAATAGGTATGAAAAAAGGATACAACACTCATGCAAACCTTTCCTAATTTTAGAACATGCAGTGTTCCCTTGTTCTTTTTGCACAAGAGCCTCTTGGTCTAGGTCTCACACGGGCTCAGTCATGTCTTCTGGGATTCCCATTCTTCTCAATGTTAGCTATAATGTTATGATCCACACAGTCAAATGCTCTTGCATAGTCCATGATGCACAAACAGGCATTCTTCTTGTATTCTCTGCTTTCATCCCAGATCCATCTGACATCAGCAATGATATCCCTGGTAACATGGCCTCTCCCAAATCCACCTTAAACGTCTGGCAGTTCTCTGTCGATGCTTTCTTCTAGTTGTTTTTGAAAGACTATCAGTCATTTTAAGTTTTCAATTCCATTTGCTTTATGTAGCCCTCTTCTAGGAATGAAATATTTAACTCTACTTAAGAAAATTCTTAACATTTGTTTGTAGGGAAAATACATTTAGGAAATGATTAGGAGAAATGATTTAGGTCTACGTCTCTTACTTACCTGCCTCTTCTTCTGCTGGTCTTACCAGGATTAAAGCATTGTTATCACTTGCGATGAATTCCTTTCCTTGAAAACTATTATAATTAGATATACCAAGCACATAAATATTTTACCTATAAACAATAAGCCTGATGTTCTGTGGGGGGAAGAAGGGGTAACTACAGTACTTTGCACAAAATGTGCACTTTAAAGCAAATCAGATATGGGTTAATTAGAGCAAAATGCATAATTCAATTATTTTGCTACCTTTTTGTTGTTTTCATGTTCAAGATCATCTGAAACCTAAATTTAAAAAAGAAAATAACATTTACATCTCCAAAAGTCAACATCCTAAGTTTACTGCTTACTCATATAAGTATTTCTCTAGATCTATGTAAGCATGTAAATACATTCTGTGGTCTGTTAGGAACTGAATTGTGTCTCTCAAGGTATATGGTGAAATGCTAACCTTCTCTGAATGCAAATGAGATCTCGTTTGGAAGTAAGAATCTTTGAAGGTGTTCTCAGTTAACAGAAATTCATCTTGGACTAGAGAATGTCCGAATGCAGTAGAAACGTTGTCCTTATGAAAGAAGAGAAGATACAGGAGAGAGGATACACAGAAGGCAGACAAGGATGTGAAGACGGAGGCCGAGATTCCAGGGATGTAGGTACAAGCCAAGGAATGCCCAGAATTGCCAACACCAACACCATCAGGGGAGAGCAAAGGAAGCACCTTCTTGAGTCTTAAGAGAGAACCTGATATTTTCTGATATATACTCTGATTTATTGGATTTAGACTCCGAGCCTTTAGAAGCACACGGGAAACGCGGGCACTCTCCTCTTATGTGATGTAAACCCGCTGGACGGTCAGCTATGAGTCAGTTCCAACTTGATGACACCTAACAACCACCACCTCGAGAACTGTGGGAGAATGCATTTGTGTTGCTTGACCCACCTGCTTTGTGGGAATTTATCCAGAAGCCCTAGGAAACAGATACATGGTACACGGCGTGGTATCGATTTCTGTGCACGGCTGACCCGTCTTTACCCTTTTGCTTCTGCAATTCGTATTCCCTCCCTCTCATTAATCTCCGTTTTGGAACTTGTTTTATTTTATAGTGCATTTATGATGAAGCATCACTGTGGAGTGATACAATTAGTTGAGGTCTATTCTCTGCACTCTGTACTAAAATCCCATCAGATTTCGTCTTCTGGAGGGCAGAAAGTAAGTGTGTATGTCCACTCTTCTAGATTCCCGAGGTCTCAACTGTGCCATGGTGAAAAAAATAGCTCTAGTTTTTAATTGGCTGGTAGGTGAAAATATTTCTATGCTTACTTTACTTTAAGAAGGTGATACTTCCCTTCCTGGTTCTCTAATGAGGATCTGGCTGGGATAATTGGGGTCATTTTCCTTTTAGCTTCTGCAGGCTTATTCATCTTTGCTGTGGGGATGTCTCTGTGGTATCCTCCCCACCCAGCTCCAGTAATACAGCCAGTGGTAATATTTTAAAAGCCCTGGCCAGCTGGGCAGTGGTCAATACTGGACATGATTAATGAGTAATTTAGTGACTCTTTAATTTCCTTGTCTATGTCTCAAAGGCAGATGTCAATTCCAGCCCCCACTGAACGGCTGTGTCCTTCCACGCAATTTAGACGGAGGAAAAAAGCCACCAGATCCTTTGTGGCTGGCTGTCACAGTTCCAGGGCTTTCCTGACTAGCAGCTGCTACCCCGAGAGTCATGACAGAGGGGGGAACACAACAAGATCGCTGACCTTCTTGACGCTGTTGGCAACTGCTTCCTTGTGACTCAAGTCATCAAGTTCATGTCCAAATTTGTATTCAGGGTGAGCTTCCTCCTCTTGGTCAGCTGCATGGGAAACAAAAGGAGAGTCTATGAGCCAAGTAACTGCCAAACAGCCAGGCCTTGTCTGTGATCTCAGGAAGAACAAAAAGCACGTCTAGATGGAAAGGAGGCTCCAGGAAAATGCAAACACTCAGATGGGCAATTTTCTCAGGTAAATTTATCACTAACTTCTTAACTATTCAAGGTCAAGGATCACATTCTGTATCTTTTTCTGGGTCTGCTACATGTAACATTGTGTTTAATATTAAGATTTCCCCCCGCCCATGCCAGTAGAACATTAACCCTAAAGAGGAAAACCTCAATTATGTCTGTTTTATTTCTGACTCATAAAACAAGAGGTAGATAAAGAAAGTATAATTTGATAATTTTGAAAGTGATATTAAAATGTCTGCTTGATTATTGGTGATATAATGACTTGGGAACCAGAAGAAGTGTGACACAAAAAAGAAAGGCCTTAAAGAATGTTTACTGCTTTGTAAACTATTTGTCAAGGGTGGCTTCTTGTTGTTAGGTGCCGTTGAATCAAGTATGACTAGTGGTGACCCTATGAACAAAGGATCTGAACCCTGACTTCTCCTGTGCCATCTTTGCACTTCCTGACGCACTAGAACCCACGGCTGAAGTCACCATGTCAATCCACCTGGTTGAGGGTCTTCCTCTCCTTTGCCGACCCTATAACCTTCTCAGCAATATGTCCCTCTCCCACGGATAGCACCTCTTAGCAACATGTCCAAAGTATGTGAGGTGAAGCCTCATCATCCTTGCCTCCAAAGAGCACTCTGGCTTCAACCTCTCCAAGATATATCTGTTTGTTCTCTCAGCCTTCCATGGGATGTTCAGTGCTCTTCTCCAATGCCACAGCTCAAAGCTTAGGTTTTAAAAATTCTGCATTTGAACCCTTGTATTCACACTACCAAGGGAAATGGAAGTAGGGTATTAAATAAAAATTCCAGGATCCACCCAAGGCTTTTGGTGGAAGAAGGCTCACTCACACAGGTGTGGGACCTGGAGTCAGATGATCACCCCTGTGCAGGAGCTTCCAAGAAGGAATGTGCCTAAAACAGCAGGATCCAGAGAAACCCACAGGGCTTATGAATAGTGATCAAACCTGAAGTCACAACGTCACAGCACAGTGCAGGAAAGAACTGTATCACTAAAAAGAAGAAATAATGCTGAGTACGACCTCAAAGGGAAATCAGAAGAATCCTAAGACTAATTAGTGGTATTTTTAAAATGCATGTACAGAGTGAAAAATGCAACAACCAGAATGAATGAATGAACATTATTTTGGTTAATTCTACTATACATCTCATTGCTTCTGACATTGAATGTACACTTTACTTGATTTATCATATCATTAATTTGAAGCATTTCTTCATTGTTGTTGTGTGCCTTCAAGTTGGAACCAACTAATAACTGACCGTCCAGTGGGTTTTCAGAGGCAGTAAGTTGTGCTGGAGGAGAGTGCCCATCCTTCACCCCTGGAGCAGCTGGAGGCTTTGAACTGTTGCCTTTGGATTGCCGTACAGCTTCTTACCAGTAGACCACCAGCGCTCCAGTGGTCTCTTTCCACTGACAGTGTCTTGGAGTAGAACGTTCTTGGGGGACTCCTCTTTGTGAGGTGGAACGGCACATTGACACGGTGACAGCCACAATGGGCTCTAGTGTGTCATGAAGCATGAGGATCACACACGACAGGACAGGGCTCAGATGTGTTGTGTACTGGAACAGTATGGGTTGTACTCAACTTGAGGATACCTAACAACAACAACATCATCACCACCACCACCACCAACAACAACATTATAGCCATGGAAAGTAGGTATTAGTGAAGTAGAAACACCCTCCTCCCCTGGAGCTGACATTCTGAAAAGGGTAAGAATTAAACTGAAAACAAAATAAGAACAGCACACTAGACAGGAAGTGGATTTGTGGACCTAGACGATGTCTGAAGATAATCTAGTTGATAATCCGTCCTTTCACAGACAAGGTAAAAGATTCAGAGAAGGGCCTGCCTTCTGAATGGTCAGGGAGTAAGACGCTGACCCGGAATTCAGCTTCTCCATCACTCCCTTTCAATGGTGTTTGGATATTTTTCTTGGATTCTGGACATTGCTACCATCATTATTATACTTTCATTCCATATAGGTCTGTCTAGTCTTAACTTTCCGACAGATGTAAAGTACTTAAGACAAAGGGGTTGTTCCATGCATCTGGTAGGCAATTTATTATTGTTGTTGTTAAGTGCCACCAAGTCAACGATGGTTCACAGCAGCCCTGAGAATAATGAATCTAAACCCCATCCTTCTTTGTGCCATCCTCATCATCTCGGCCACATTCCAGCCCACCATTATGGTCACTGGATGTCCTTTTCTGATGACTGGCTCCCTCCTAACAACATGTCCAAAGTATGTCAGCTGCAGTTTCACTATCCTTGCCTCCAAGGAGCACCCCCAGCTGTGGCTTTTTCAAGACATATCTTCTGTCCTTTTGATGACACAATCTTGCTTGCTGAACGTGGAGAGAACTTGAACTACTTGATCAGACACATGATGCAGCTCTCAATATGGATAACATCCCAACACCAAGAGAACAAAAATCCTCACCAGTAGACAACTTCATGACAGATGAAGATGAAAGAGAAATTTGTCAGTGATTTCATCTTAATTAGATCCACCATAAAGACCCTGGCACCAAAGGTTGGAAATCAAGACATTTTGGCAATGGGAAAGTTTGCTGTGAAAGGCCTCGCCAAAGTGCTAAAGAGCAAGGATATCAGCTTGAAGACTAAGGTGCGCCTAATCCAAACAAGGGTCTTCTCAATTACTTGCTATGCATATGCACTTAGAAAATAGATAAACATGACAAAAGAAGATTTGATGCCTCTGTTGTGGGGTTGAAAATGATCTTAATAGCTATTTTTAAAGAGCTGTATGCATAAAGTTTTATTCTCTCTTGGAAGAGAGAATACTCAAAGTGTATATGTGGACACAACCACAAGATACAACTTGTAGTGTTCCACATAGCTTGTCTTACAGCCCTGAACTATTCCTTTTTGGAATCTACACCCCATGAAAACTCCTGAACACATTTACTACTTATTGAGAAGCCTCTACTACTCTCTGTAACCCCCTGAAGTGCCCCTCTTGAAGCATGCTTGGTCTTCCCTTGACTTCTGTGTGTATGTATTTAAACCAGAGACTGGAGTCACTCCACGATCATGATCCATGATGCCAGTACACTAGGATCTTGTGTCACCAGCATAATGACAGCCAACTGGTCACCAGAAATCAGAGCTTCCGAATCACATCCGTCAACTGGTAGAAGTGTCTGGAAGCTTCTAGAACAACTGCGGTGGGTTATTCTCCCCTCCAGGAACATTCCTTCCTGTCTACTATCCCATGAGGCCAGTTATGCTAAGATTTAGTAAAAATCTCAAGTATATTTTGGAACAACAGGCGAATATGTAGTGGAAGGTACTGTGAGGTGATTTTGCCATTTTTAATCTATCAAAATAATTAAGGCTGTTTAGAATCATCGAGGCCAAAATCAAATACACTGCCACTGAGTTGATTCTATTTCGTGGACCCTTCTTGGGGATTTCGGAGCTGTAAATCTTTAGGGAAAGAAGCAGCGTATCATTATCTGATGGGGCAGGGGGTGGGCTGGAACTGCTGACTGACCTCAGTTAGCAGTCCAGTATGTTCTGCACGACACCACCAGGGTTCTGTGAGTGGGAGCATGGTGGCCCTCATTTTAGATTCCTGTGTGTGTTTGGGAAACTTTGTTATGGTGACTGAGTGTACAGTGTAGTTGTGCTGTTAACCTAAAGGCTTGAAGTTCAAACCCACCAGCTGCTCTCAAGCTATGTGGTCTCCGCCAGTAAATATTTAGGGTTCTAGAAACCAAGGCAACATCAGGATGGATGGTGAAGAGATTGAGATTGTACACAGCTTTAGTTTGCTTGGCTCCACAGTCAACACTCTCGGCACCAGTAGCCAGGAAATTAAAAGGCGCATTGCCATGGGAAAGTCTGCTGTTAGGGACCTCTCCAAAGTACTGAAGAGCAATGGTGTCTCTCTGGAGACTAAGGTGTGTCTGATACAGGCCATGGTCTTCGCAATCACCTGTTATGCATCAGAGAGTTGGACAATGACCAAAGAGGATAAAAGGAGAATTGATGCCTTTGATCTGTGGTGCTGAAGAAGAGTACTGAGAATACCATGGACTGCTAGGAAAACAAACAGATTTGTCCTGGAAATGGTTAAACCGGGTGGCTCCTTGGAGGCAAGGATTCTGAGGCTCCGTCTAACATACTTTGGACATGTTGTGAGGAGAGACTGGTCCTTGGAGGAGGACATCATGCTTGGGATGGTGGAGGGACGGCGCAGGAGGGGAAGGCCCTCTATGAGGTGGATTGATTCAGTGACTGGGATAATCGGGATGGGAGTGTCAGAGACAGTGCAATTGGCACAGGACAGAGCAGAGTTTAGGGCTGTTGTACATAGGGTCGCTATGAGTCGCAAGTGACTCGACGGCACATAACAACAACAACAACAACAGAAACCCAAATGGAGGGATGCTGCGAGGCAGACTTAGCCCAGCGGCAGTGTTATTTTATCATTTATTAGTACTTGAAGGGCGTTACTGTGGGATACAGAAAGAGGTCTGTGATCGTGGAGTCAGATAATCTTGGAATTGCATTTAGCACCTGACAGGTGTGAATGCATGTAGCAATTCTGTGACCTTTCTAGGGTTCAGCTTCTTACCCAAAAAATGAGGGTGATGCCTCCTCCCCTTGTGTATGAAGACGAGATGAGACAGGGATGCAAACCCTTTTCTACTAGTTGGTACAGGAATGGTAGTAGCTGCTGTCATTATTTTTATTAATGTTTATAGTAATAAATAATTAATGTCTACTTTCCCTTGTTAATCTTCTCTTTTGACAGTTTGTTTAATGCTCCAAAGTTCACTGTTGTGGAGTCAATTCTGACTCATAATGACTCTGTAAGATGCAGTAAAACTGCCCCACAACGTTTCCTAGGCTGGGTTCTCTACAGGAGCAGGCTGTCACACAACTTTCTCCATATAGCAGTAAGAGGCTTTGAACCGCTGACCTCTGGATCAGGAGCTGAGCACTGAATCCTTGCAATACCAGGGCTCCTTGTATTGGACTGTAGTATACAACGGGCCAGGAGGGAGGGAGGAGAGAAGCTCAAGCCATGTGAAGTGTACCTTCAGTAGGATGGGCCAGCAGAGCTTAGCCTAGGAGACAGCCAGGGAGCAAGTCTCAGCCATGTGAGTGAGCCACTCTGGCCAACAGGTCCAACTTAACATTCAAATGATTCTCCGTGCCATCTGAGGGTAACTAATGAGAAACTCAAGGGGCTCAGATGACACAGAACTATGAGAGATAATGGCATCGAAATGGTTCTGACTCCATGTAACTCTATGCACAGCAGAATGAATGAGTTTCTGGCCCTGAGTGTGTTAGCCTCACAGTCACGGCTGTATCTGAGTCCATTATGAAGGCACTGTTTCAATCTGTTCTGTAGAAGGGCTTCCTTTTTCACTGGCCCTTTCCCAAGGAGGAGATCCTTCTCCGGGGAAGCGCTCAGACTCAATGCCCTGAGTCGGGACTGACCCACAGCCGACCCTCCTGTGAATTGCAGAGCCTGTAAGCCTCACAGGAGGAGACTGCCCAGCCTTCTAGGGGATTCGAACCACCAATGAGGCATCACCTTTGGGTGAGCAATGCAACGCCCTAAGAGACGAGGCCACCAGAGCTCACTCTGCAGGCTCTGGTATCTCCTACAGCATGGCCAAAGTACATGAGATGAACTCTTGCCATCCCAGCTTCTAAGAGGCCGTCCAATGCTCATGAGGAGGCTGGAAAATGCCATAGCATGGGCCAGGTGTGACTGAGTCTTCAAAGGGATCTACTTGCTTCTCTATTTTTTAGGAGGTTTTTACAGCCAGTACAATTTGAACTCTCACAGACAAATGACATTAGGTAACAGGAGAATATTATTTGAAGTCTTTGAATTTTGGGGTAGTTTGTTAAGCAGCTACAGATAACCATAATAGGCACTGACTGAATACTAGCAGGTCTCTATGAATTTAGACTCATCCCATTAAGGGAAACATACAGACGTATAATGGCTGCTCTAGAGTGGAGTTAAATCCATACTTAAAACACAAGACGAGTCATTTATGCAGCCTACTGTGGGACCAGAATCTTTACTAAGGGATCCTGAATAGAAAGACTTAATAATTTTAGCTTCCTGGTTTTCACTTGTAAAATCAAGTTTTCTTAAAATCCACTCACGTATTTCAGATGTTTGGATCATAAATGAGCCACTTTCTCCAAGTATTTCTAAACTCCTCAGGCATTGCCTAGCCATCGAGATACAGAAATACAAGTCTAGGTTATCTTGTTAATCTGTCCCCAGGGGAAAAAAGTGAACAAGTAATTTGCTAATAACATCCTGAAATGATGAAGCAATCCATTTAAATCAAACAACAGAGTTATGATTATATGGGAAAGTAAAGTAGAATCTAAAGCTGACTGATCAAATATTTTAAGTAAGGCTGTCTTTAGTGAAATGATGACAATATTTTTAAATTACCTATATGAAAGATAATTTAGAGGATTTGAACTTGAAATTTTCATACCAACCTTGAATTTCCAGTTCACTTTGCATATACATATACACTGACCTGAGGTCCTTTTGTTTCTTCCTTTGGTTAGCATCATATTTTACTGGATGTAACTCGCTATGCATCAGAGAGCTGGACAGTGACTAAGAATGATAGAATACTTGATGCCTTCAAGTTGTGGTGCTGGAGAAGAGTCTTGAACATCCCATGGACCGCCAAGAAAACAAATAGATCTGTCTTGGAGAGGGTGAAGCCAAGTCTCTCCTCGGAGTCTAGGATTTTGAAGCTCCAGCTCACATACTTTGGGCATGTGGCCAGTAGGGACTGGTCTTTGAAGAAGGATATCATGTTTGGAAGGGTGGAGAGACAGCACAGAAGAGGGAGATCTCGGATGAGATGGATTGATACAGTAACTGGGGCAAATGGGTGTTTGTGTTTCTGAGTCAGTGAGACTGGCTCAGGACAGGGTAGGCTTCAAAGCTGTTATACACGGGTTCACTATAAATCGCAGGGGAGTCAACGGCACATAACAACAACAATTTGTTCATAGACTTTAAAGAAAAGATCAGCATAATTTTTGAGTAGTTCTAGTTACTACTCAACGACCAATGATATGCAGGTATCAGAAACCTGTTTGCTGGAAGTGAAGAGGACTTGAAACATTCATTGAGGAAGATCACATAATACAGCCTTCAGTATCAGATATACCTCACCATAAATGAAAAAAAGTGCAAACACATTGTGGTCCAGTGGGAACCAACTCAGAGCTGCCATGGTAAGAGACTGTCCACCTCTCTCCCATGCAGCCCATGGTGAATTTGAACCACCAAAGAGGCACAACCTTTGGGTTATCAGAGCTCCTGACCTCAACATCTAAGAACGAAAAATCCTCACAAATGCTCCAAAGAGTAAGTGATAAGTAATAGCATGATTGATGGAGAAATCATTGTATGTGGATCTATGATTGATATCCATGGAAGCAGTGCTCAATAAACTAAATGACTTACTATAAGAGGGAAAATCTGCTCCCAAGGACCTCTTTAAAGTGTTCAAGAGCAAGAATGTCACTTTAAAGACTAAGGTGTGTTTGACTCAAGCCATGCTATTTTTAATTGCTTCCTATACATGTGAAAGTTGGGCAATAAAGAAGGAAGACTGAAGAAGAGTTGCTGTCTTTGAATTGGAGTACTGGCAAAACAGTGTTGAATATATAAGGAATGTCAAAAGAACAAACAAATTTGTCTTAGAAAAAGTGTAACCAGAATTAAGAGACAAGGGTGGTATGACCTTGGCTCACACACTTGGGGCGTGCTGTCAGGAGGGGAAATCCTGGAGAAAGACATCACACTTGGAAAAGAAGAGGGCCAGCAAAACGGAGGAAGATCATTAAGTTCAAGAAAATGGAATGACATGGTAACTGCAACAATGAGTTTAAGTATAGAAAAGACTGTGGATGGGGCTGGGCTTTGTTCTTTGCACACAAGGTGACTATGATTTGTAGCTGAGCCATTAACTACTACTGATATAATAGAAATATACCTTTTAGATAATAATATTAGACAATGTACCTTCTTGAAAATACTACTTAGGTTTTATTTCTCTTTACAAAAACACATTCATACAGTAAAAGCAAATTTCCTATTCTTATCATCATTAATAAAATGGCAATTCATGCTTTTACTTACAGGATTAGAATGAAGGATGTTATTTCTATTCTAACCCCTGCCTTGGATAGCAAGTGCTTCAAGGAACCCTGGCTGTGAATTTCTGCTGAACAGATGAACAGCTCAACAGGAAGGGGATGACTAACCCAGAAAAATCTACTGGCTCTATAAACGAGAAGAAATAATATTTGGAGGAACAGAGAACGATGAAGAGTGGCCTGTGCACACATACTTGACTATAAAGAGTAAAAAGCATTATAAACAGGTAGTTCCTGTTCATAAAAGTTATACTATTAATTCGAATCCACCAGATGCTCTGCTGGAGAAAGAGGTGCAATCTCCTTCTGTACTAGTCAGATCCGATTTGATGGCACACACACACAAAAAAATAAATTTTTTTAAAAAGTCTAAAAAACCATAATATTACTACAATTATGGCAAACACACTTAATTAAGACTTTGTTCTTATTTTTGTACATCTTTATCATGAGTAGTGCTCAGTATATACAAAGTTGCAGCACACCACCTGCTGCTGTTTTCCTTCTCACATGTTCAAAGACAGGTGTTAAAAAGTCAGACTCGAGGGAGCTCTGGTAGCCTGGTGGCAAGAAGCTGCACTGCAATCCCAGAGGTACATGGTTTGAATCCACTAGATGCTTTGCTGGAGAAGGAGGGGCAATCTCTTCCTGTACCAATCAGATCCAATTTGAAGGTACACATAAAAAAAAAAAGTAAGAAAATAAAAGACCCGCAGAGAGAAGTAATAAAAAAGGGAATAATAATGAAAAGTAGAGAGAGAAGAGAGGAAGAAAGTGTGTGAGAGAGGCATTCACCTTCCATCAGAATCAGCCTCTGAAGGAGGCACTGGAAGACGATCCCTTACCTGTACAAGGGACCACAGAAAAAAGTCACGGCTTTCTTAATTTCCAATGAACGTTAGAGACATGTAAGTAAGAACAGCTTACCACATTCTATTTCCTCTTCATTATCATCCTCTAAGATGTTGACCGGTGACGCCGTTTCTCCAGCTTCCATCATGCTCTTTAAAGCTTCCAGCTGCTCTGTTTTTTAAATCAACAAAAAGATAATGACAGATATTAGATGACTTCTATAAGCTGAGAAGAAAATAAAGTAGATAAGGAAACGCATGGTAGAGACCCTTAATGGACAAGTTCCTACAGACCAGCAGTGCCACTGCGCTACCCACTGTGGGGGTCTTGGTTTCTTGAAACACTTGCAACCACCACCTGGTCTGCACACAAAGAATTACTGCGACGGGGGGTGGGCTGCTCAAGATCCTGGTCACCAGGTTTGAGAGGGAAACTCAGCTGCTGCGAAGGACTGAAGGCTGGGGAACAAAGCATACAACTGGGAAACTGGTTCTGACCAAGGTTTGGAACAACTGTGGTGAAGGCGTAAGATAAAATAGACAATGCAAGTCGGAGTCTGACAACATTTAAGGAAAAAATATCTCTTCAACTGACACAATTAAGGTTATGCATAAGATATTTTTAAAAACTTATTAATTAGTAAAATGAAGACAAATGGATTGAAAGTAAAATAGGCAAACATGTAAGCATATCACAAATTATCTCTAAAGAGACAACTATAAAATAAGATACTGTTTTCTTACTAGCTGGAAACCATGTAGAAGATGGCTGATGGTCAGAGTGCAGGACATTCCCATGAAGCAAGCGCTCTGGTGTCCTACTGAGTGAGCACATGGTACAACTTTCCTCAAAGGCAGCATAACAGGATACATCAGAATGTGCATATATGCTTTGTCTGTGGGTGTTGTTCAAAGTCATCGAGTCAATTCTGACTCTCAGTGACCCTCTAAGAAACATAGAACCGCCCAGAGGATTCCTGGGCTGTAATCTTTAGCAAAGTAGAGTGCCAGATCTTTTCACCTGCAGAGTGACGGACTGATGGGTCCAAAGAGTCACCCTTTCAAGTAGCATCTGAGTGCTTAACTGCTGTGCCACCAGTATTCCTTCTGCAACTCTGAATGTCTCATCCGATTTCAAGGAAAAACTTTTTTAAATGCACAAAGTAAGCATCAAGTATTTTCATCATTAATGCTTTTATAATAGTAATCACTCATCTTCTTGGGGCTGGTGAATTATACTATATATCATACAATGAACTGTATGGAGTATTTTGTATATTGGAATTAAAGTTACCATGTAGAATTACAAACCACCATGTATAGGTGTTTCTAGGTGGTTGAATAAAAAATACCAATCAATAAGATTATTATGATTAGTTTTGTAAAAAAAGTGTGTATATATAAACACGAGCTTATATACATTTATCTTTATTATACAACCGCACATGTAAATGTATACAAAACTTGGAATTTTCTTATTTCTTTCAGTTTTCTGTTCAAATTATCCTAAGAGATTCTTTCTCATAATTTAAATAAATAGTCCTTCATATAATTTTTGAATTCTAGTTAGAATACCAGGGTGGGGGGAGGAAATAAATCAAATCATACCAATATTGGATGTGGTCAATTTACAGATTTAAAAAATACACTTAAAGGAAGTAAGAGCAAAGGTTTCTCTACAAAAATCTCTTTTATTTCTTCAGATAGTCACCAACGGATATATTTAGGTGGGATTCTTAGATATTCATCCATTCTATAAGTAAACTACAAAGAGGAATTTTTCCCCTCAGAAGACTTTCAAGTATATAAAATTATAAGATGCCAGTTCCTTTTATCTTTATGTTCTAAAATACTCTATTTTCTTCTTACTTTTCCCTAGGGCCACTTTAAATTATGGCAAATAAATAAATGAATATAATTCTCTCAATAAAGAAATAAGCTGACATGGAAGCAAAATGTATCTGGAAATACAGAAACTTTGCTTTGAAAAGAAAGGCTTAAATTATGTCAACAGGACACTCTCTCTCTAAAAGCCTATGATTCATTCTGGATAATGGAATTTTCCAATTAGATCATGTGTGTATACGTCTGTCATGGATGCATGCATTTGCCTTACTTTTTTCAACTTCAGGTTTCAGGCGTTTATTTTTGATGAGTATTTTTCTTTTGAGGTCATTGGGAGAAGGCAGCGGCCTGCCTGGTTCAAGCTGGAGATAAACGGAAAGGATGAATTAATGACAAGGCTTGTTTCATTTTTCTTTCCAACCAGAATGAGCATGAAGGCCTGAGAGTCATGCATCCCAACATCCACTAGGTGGCGCTCCGCACAGCGCACGTTTTCACTCCCAGCAGGAGTCAGCCCAGCACATCAACGGCTGCCTCAGACTAAGGCTTTCCGCTGTGCTGTCATTAAAGGTGCAGAACTGATCCCCACATCCCCAGACTATCTGGGGTCAGAGCTGGCTGGTGTGTTTGGGGAGGGTCTACTGTCCAGCATTAGGCCTTAAAGAATCTGGTGAAGTCTAAGGGATCATCGGGATGGGTAGGGTCTATGAAGAGACTCTCCAGGTTGCCCCAAGTATGGGTCCATCTGTCAATCAAATCACAACGCAAAGGTCTGTGGCTTTACAAGTAATAAAGGAGAGAGTAATCCTTAGCACTGGAGCTGAAACTCTACCATGTCTTCATTCATTTGGATGCATGTCTTTAAAGGTGTTCCTTCTTTAACTCTATTATCTCTAAGCCAAAGAAATGTCTTTTATCTAGCCATTGATCTTCTATGATCTTCTACGCTCTTATTTCTCTATCCACCTACTTATCCACTTACCTAACCACCCAACCCGCCCTTTCACGCCTCCATTCATTCACTTTCAAAAGAAGTTTGTAAGCTACTCATTACATGCAAGGCTCAGGCTATTTCTCAAGCCTGTCTTTTCTCAAATGAATCTCTTTGCCTGACTCTGAGTTCTTTCAGGAAGGCTGCCCTCACAGATCCATTCTCCAGCACCTCTCTGGGACCGGGATATCTCCTCAACAAATATTCAGTAATCAAAGGCCATCTTTAGTTGTGTGTTTGCATTTGTCTCCTGTGATAACCCCAAACCCCATCCTTATCCCCACAGAAAAAAGCTTCATAGTTCAGGAAACAGGTTTTACTAATATGATCTGATCTGTGCCTCCCATAACACCTTTCATGCAATATGTGCCTATCACTCCCATTAAGAGGTCTTTCTACAAAATCAAGATCATAAACGGAGGGCCTAGGTAAAGCTCATCAGTCAATCAGAGATTTTGGGGGTACTCTTAAAAGCCACCTCTGAGACAAGGATTAAAGTGCCTGTGGCTTATCTGGAAGGCGATAAAGGAAACTCTGGGGAGGGTGAGAAACAGAAGTGGGGGGAGCTGAGAAAGGGTGAACTAGCAGGCAGGTTATCACTGTGGAGCCTCCAGTCCTGGGGCGCCCTGGGAGGGACTGGAGCGCACGCCCTCAGCATTGGGGCACCTGAGAAGTACATGGAGGGGCAAGGGTGACACTTGGCACTTCCGGCCCATCTTTCCCACTGACGGACAGAGGAGGCTCCAGTGACCTGGTACAGCCTCAGACAGAACGCTGCAGGCACTGGTAGTCTTAAGGAAGCCGGTCAGAGTGCAGGCAAGACGGTCAGTGCTCCAGGATCTGGACAGGGAGGCTGTCTATGGGTCACTGCCTCAGCCGGCTCAGCAGAATCCATGGTGGGAGCAAAAGATGCAAAGAAATTGGTCTCCTGTATGTTTTTCAATTTCTTTCTATGCATCTGAAAGGTGGACGAAGAATAAGGAAACACGAAGAATTGAGACCTTTAAATGGTGGCGCTGGAGGAGAGTATTGAGTACTGCCAAAAAGCAGCAGCAAATCTGGAGGGAGAAAGGGCTACCAGAGTGGTGCTCCTTAGAATCCAGGATGGTGACAATCTGTCCAACGTACTTACTCTGGGCAGTCCTTGGAAAATGCCATCATGCCGGGAAAGGTGGAGGGTCAGTGAAAGAGAGGAAGACCCTCAAGGGCATGAATGACCCAGTGACTACAGCAGTGGGCTTGAGCGTGACAGAGATTGCCAGGAAGGTGCAGGACAGGCAAGGTCAGGTCTGTTGTTCACAAGGTTACTGAGTTGTAGTCAACACAATAGCGTCCAACAACAATATAGTTCTCAGTTCCCACAGACCCATTTCCTCCAAAAAACCTGCTCTTTGTAAATGTTCCTAAGCATTACTTTTTTAAATTATATTTTATTTTTTTTCCTAAGTATTACTTTTAACAAAGCACCTTCCATTTGAGGGCTGTGGATTCTTCTAAGATTGTGAAACTCTGGAATACTTACAGAGAAACATTTGCATATCATTAGAATGTATGGTAGATGCCACAGGTTAAGAATGTCTTGTATTATGAAGAAATTAGCAGGCATAAAGTGAAGCTCAAAAATGTGTATCGAATACTGTCCTAAGAGATATTTTGGAGTTTAGAGTCTGATCTATTTTCTACATCAACATGAATTCTGAACTCCAGATACACATCCGACATAAAAAAATAGTATGCTCAGTTTCTACCTCGGATGAGTTAAACCTTCTAAGAGGAAGGCCCTGGCCTAAGTATTCCTAACAGTTCCCAGGTGAATATAACATGTAATTGAAGTACAGAAGTGCTGAGGCCAGGCTGAGCTCTGATCTGATTCTTCTCAGTTTAATCATAACTGATGAAGTGACCCAGAATGGATGCAAATTTGTAAAATGTGGGTGTAGTGAAATTGACAGGAGGAACTGGAAAATTATGGATGGATGTTCTGTTAGAAACTTAATAAGAAAGAAAGAAACTTAGAAAAAGAAATGCAGCAAGCGTGTTGCATAGCACTGATTGCCAGAGGTGGAAATGACTGTGTCCGGCTCAAAACTGGCAGCTGACTGCACTGCTTTCAATGAGTGTGGTCTTGTCCATCGTCCTGGCGAAAATACGATCTCTCCTATCAGCTTCTTGAAAGAGCTCACTCTTCCCATTCACGTTTCCCATTTGAGGGCTTTAATAAGTAGATTTTCCCATTCCAGTTATGGTTCCTGTACACCATGCTTTTACAAGTTCAGGTCTGTTCCTGTTTCACTGGATCGGAATGACTGACCAGCTGGAGGATCAAGGCCAGAGAACGCTTTATGGAAGTACTGATGGGGAAAAACCCTTTAGATTCCAGGATCTTCCAAATGACAATGAGCTAGATGTTTACTTTATGTCACTATTCGTCCCTCTCAAGCTTGATGAATGTGTTCTGTACCGAAGAATTTAAATAAATACGCAGATCTTTAGCCTTAGTCCTCTGGCACTACTTGACCCTTTAGAAAAGAACTTCAAAACAAATCCATTCACACTAGAAATATGGTTAGCTAAAAATACATACTGGATGTGACTCAAGCGCTTGTTTCAACAGGAGATCCCCAAATAGATCTTCGCAATATTTGGACATCTTGTATTGTTGATATTTGCTGCACAGAAAGAAGTGACATTTGTAAATCCAAACACCGATTCACAGTCCAAGAACAAGCACACATTCCTACGCCGTTAAAAAATTCCACTCTGCAAACCGCACCACCGGCCACTTGATGTGAATATGAAATGTACTTTTATATACTATAAACTTTAATTGGTATAATAAAAAAAAGATGATCCAACCCAAAATGTGATAAGCAGAATGAAAAGTACTTTTTTAATTAATGGCCATCTGCTTTCAAATGTACTGCCAAACCTTCTAACTCAATGGGACTTAACCCATGGTGTTCCAATTTCTAACCTTTTACCTAGAGGGAGCACTTAAAAAACACATTAAAATAACTTCAGGGTTTGGTTTATTTTTCTGTTACTTTCTTTTTGTTTTTTAACTGTGTGCTTAACTAGAGAACTATTTAGAATTTCTCATTTCACAAAAACAATTCCATTTATTATTATTATTATTGTTGTTGTTGTTATTATTATTATTTTTGTGCGTGTACCGTCAAATCAGATCTGATAGGTACAGGAGGAGATTGCCCCTCCTTCTCCAGCAGAGCATCTGGTGGATTTGAACCGCATTCCTCTGGGATTACAGTGCAGCTTCCTGCCACCAGGCCCCCAGAGCTCCCTTATTCAATTATTATTTTTTTTTATTCAATTCTTTTTAAACAAATAGAGCAGAGGTGAAGGTTGAGAAACAGCAAAGGCTGAAGCAGAATGAACTGTGGTACCTGCAGTGGTTTTCAAAGGACAGGATTACAGGATATTCCGATGTGACAAACGCAGTTTCCTTGATGGCCTGAATCACATCCTTTAAAGATAAAGAAAGTCAATGAGAGAAAAGAGCAAAGCTTTGAAGGCACCTTCATCTGCTCAGACACCAGGTACTAGGAGCCCTGTGCAAAGGTTGCACCAGCAGTTCAGAGCTGGAGACCCATTTACCTGGAGGAGGAGTCTCCTGCGGTTAGTCCCCAAGGCACACGGGATGGTTAAGAATCGTTTTTCCCACCCAAGCTACCTGTCACTTCTCTAAAATGATGGCATTGTTAGCTTACTAGCTACTTCCTCTAAATGGCCCACCAAATCCTTGCTTGGTACTCCACCATAGCAGGAGCCCAGTGCTCACCGAGAAGCAGGTAAGCAGGTAAGCTTCTGCCATCAGCCCAAACAGGTAGGTCATACAGAAATCGGTATCTGTGAACCAAGGACTGCTGAACGTTATGAGGACTTCCCTCAGCATTCCAGCGTAGGTCCTGGTTACGTTTCATTACCTTGATGTGCACTTCTGTGCGTGGATGTCATATGCACAATATCCTTTGCTCGGTATTATTCAAATTCATGGCTGTTGAGTCAGAAATGTCTCATAGCTGACTCCCCAGTGAGTGTTTGGAGGCTGTAAGTCACGCATCTTTCCTTCTCCCGAGAATTCAAACCACGAGAGAGGTGCCACTTTTGGATGAGCAGCAAAACTCCTTAGCCAGCTACACCCCCAGAGCTCCCTATCATCAGCTTGGTGTTGTTGTTGTTATTATGTGCCATCAAGTCGGAACTGACTCATAGCAGACCTTCTATCGGAT